TTTCACTCTAGTGGGCTTGAGACAGAGTCTACAACCCACACAGGTGACCCAGGTAGTGCAACTCATTCAAGATGGCACATCAATGTGAGCTGTAGCAAGAAGGTTTGCCTTGTCTGTCAGCGTAGTGCACTACCAGGAGACAGGCCAGTACATCAGGAGGCATGGAGGAGGCCGTAGGAGGGCAACAACCCAGCAGCAGGACCGCTACACCTGCATTTGTGCAAGGAGGAACAGGAGGAGCACTGCCAGAGCCCTGCAAAATGACCTCCAGCAGGCCACAAATATGCAACCTCGGCTCATTGTGGAAACGTAGCCCCGCGTTTTTTTGTTTTCACAGATCCGCGAGAGGCCGCTGAGCGCGCTTTTGCGCGTCTCGGGCACCTCTCAGGAGTGCTAGCCGTTCGCGCCCGCGCTGTTCTCGCGCAAAAAGCTGCCGGATCGGCCGACCCGGCCGCCCTCCTCTTCCTCCTCAAACCCAAGCGACGGTTTGCAAAAGCCGTCCAGAAAAAAAAAAAAAAAGCCCTCGTCTTCGATTTCGACCGCGTTTTCGGATCCTGCTGCGTTCTCGCCCTTATTTTTTCGAATTCTGTTTTTCATCTTACCTGATTTCCAGAACCGCTGTTCCCTGGACTCGATCCCGGTCGTCGTCCCCGCGGCCGGCTCCTCCTCCTCCGGGGCCTCCGCTCCGCCAACGCAACGCTGTGAGCTAAGCGGACAAACTGGTTGCATCGGGAAAGCCCTCCACTCGGAGGCGAGCCGTCGGCCGGCAAGCGCGAAGAGGGGGAGTGGAGAGGCGCCCCACCGCCCCGCAGCGTTTGCATGAAAAAAACTAAACGCGGCCGTACGTACCTCCGGCCATGTAAATTGCGGTCTCCAGAAACGTCCGCGGGGCTACGTTTCCAGAATGAGCTTGGGTTGCAAATATGCATGTGTCTGCTCACATGGTCAGAAAAAGACTCCATGAGGGTGGAATGAGGGTCGGGGGCCTTACAGCCCAACACCATGCAGGATGTTTGGTATTTACCAGAGAACACCAAGACTGCAAATTTACAAATGTCTGGAGACACTGTGAAGATCCTCCAGCATGACTGGTTTGGCAGTGGGTCAGTAATGATGTGGGGTTGCATTTCTTTCTTCAGCCCTCCATGTGCCTGCCAGAGGTAGCCTGACTGCCATTAGGTACCCAGGTGAAATTCTCAGACCGCTTGTGAGACCACATGCCAGTGCAGTTGGCTCTGGGTCCCTCCTAATGCAAGATAACTCTAGACCCTTATGTGGCTTGCGTGTGTCAACAGTTCCTGCAAGACAAAGGCACTGATCCTATGGACTAACCTGCCCGTTCCCCAGACCTGAATCCAATTGAGCACTTCTGGGACACCATGTCTCGCTTCATCCACCAATGCCACATCTGTTGCATCACAGACTCTTGGTGCCACAGGAAGTTGGCAGATGCTTCAGTTCAGGTCTGGGAAGAGATCCTTTAGGAAACTTTCCACCACCTCATCAGGAGCATGCTCATGCGTCGTCGGGAGTTCATACAGACTCAAGGAGGCCACACACACTACCGAGCCTCAATTTGACTAGTTTTAATGACATCACATTGGTACATTTGATTCAGCCTGGAATGTGTTTTTCCAATTCAATTTTGAGTGTGACTCCAAATCCAGACATCCATAGGCTAAAATATTTGATTTGCTTTGATAATTTTTGTGTGATCTTATTGTCAGCACATCCAACTATGTAAAGAACAATGTATGTAATAAGAATAATTCATTCATTCAGATCTAGGATGTGTTATTTGAATGCTCCCTTTATAATTTTTTGAGCAGTCTACTTGCTTCCAATTATGCATTGATGTAAAAATAAATGCATTGTTTTGTCCCAATCTTCTGTCCAGCTGTTTTTAGGCGTGTACCCAGATAAGTACTTCACTGAAGAACCAGCCATGGAAGCAATTAAGAATTTCCGCAAGAAATTAGTTGACGTCACTAAGACCATCAGGAGACGAAATGAAACTCTGGAACTGCCCTACTGGTATCTGTGTCCAGACAGAATCCCCAACAGCGTGGCCATCTGAAGAAAGCATCTGTGGCAAACATTTACAAAAGCTGTTCACAGTGCAATTACACAGTAATGCTTAGCACTCAATAAAAAGGCAGCAAGTTCATTTAACGCAACAGGAAAATGTTTTAAAACAGTGATTTTTAATTGATGTTTCAAATTCTTTGTTCATTAACACTTATTGGATTTGTGGTTAATAAGTCAAAGCTCTGAAATACAATTAAGATCATTCAATAAAGTACTTACAAACTACAATAATCTACCCATCAGCTGGTCTCATGTCTGCTCTTGGTTTACTCAATGAAACTCTCGAACTAAAGACTTTTTAAAGGGTTAGGAGTACCAAGCAAAAGATTTTCTTATTGGTAGGTTTAATTGGTTTTACATAACAGGAAAAAAATGAAATCTGATTCTGTCTGATCTAACAGATAAAACTGCTTTTGTTTTATTACATTCAAAATCTTTTACAATTTTTTAAAGGCATAAAATATTTGCCTGATCTGTTTTTTTCACATATTCAGTTTTTATTTATTGATTACAGTTTGTTTGTTTTTGGTCGAAAATTATTTAGCATTTAACCTTACCGTTTTTTGCTAAAAATGTGTACTTGGTCTGATAAATGTGTAAACTGACATGCGTGTTATTTGTTGCTTTGCATGGTTTTTCTTCTGTATTTTTTGCTGTCATCCTGTTATCCTTACTGTAATCTATTCTGTCATCATTCTGATGGTAAATCAGACTAAACGTTTACTATTTTAGGTCCGTTAGGATAACTTGAATGATTTACATTTGCTAAATACCAGAAAATTTAAAATTCTTTTTGGAGAATTTTTTTTTTTTACATTTCTAGACAGTCAAAAGTATACACACATTTCCTTGGTATTTTTTAGCTTTGCTTTTAAACCCAATAATATCCAGCTGCAGGCCCGCAGAACCACACACGTTTTAGGCACACACAATCTAGGCAAACCATATATGGTTACAACGGATGTTAATGTTATTAACGTCTTCTTGGACATTGCCATCGATATATTTTGATATATATGGTTAATAAATAATGTACACAATAAACAATGTTTACTTTATTTCACAAATATTGCGATCGAGACGGGCGAATGGGGAACATTGTTTCCGATCGCCATTCAATATAATAGACAGAACAGTTTTCAGTCATCATAGATAATCAGTCATTATTATACGTTTGCTGGCCTTGCTGAAAGATCTAAATTGGACAGGTTTAATTTATATAATGGATTCATTTATAATGAAGGAAATAATGGCAAGTTAATATAGTCAATAAAACATTTTACATGTAATAAAATCTTTTTAAATGTAATAAATGTATAGCACTATATTAATATTTTACTCAAGCGTTTTAATAGCGTGTATTTGCTTAATTTTCCTATAACTTTTTAAATAATGATTTCCCACATTAAATACTGTAGTAGTTTATAGTGAGCAATGTATTGTTTTTAAACCAAAATTTAGCAATAGAAACAAATTAACTATTAATAATTAATTTAATAAATAATAAGTAAATATATATATATATATATATATATATATATATATATATATATATATATATATATATATATACACACATACATATATATATATATATATATATATATATATATATATATATATATATATATATATAGCTGTGACAGTTTAGTAAAAGATGGTAGTTTATAATCAGATAGTCAGTTGAGAAAATCAGTTTATAACTATTTTATATATTGTTTAAATGATATACTATAGTAATTAATTTTATTGTGACACATTATTGTTTGCTTTTTATATTTTACAACAAAGTGGTTTTAACCAAGTATGATAACATTAAGATCCTGAATTAGTTCATTACACTACAATTAGACGGTCTATGTTTTCTTTGTGGACACATGAATAAAGTCATAAGTGTATTTAACCAATTATTTTATTTACATAATTTGAGTTCAGAAACTGCAGAGATGTTAAAATTATTGTTACGATATAATAATAATGACTGAAATGGGAAAACATATTTGTGAAATGCAATAGGTGGCGATAATGCTCCTAATGAGTTAGTTAGTTACCATATATAGTTTGCCTAAATCGTGTGTGCTAGATTGTGTGTGCCTAAAATGTGTGTGATTCTGAAGTTTTTTTGGATGGAAATATATGACCAGATTCAATGGGAAAAAAGTTTGGTCGTTATCTGTAAAATATATAATAACTAACAAAATTAGAGAAATTTAATTTAAACTGTTACACAGATTTTACCCAGCCAAGACATTTTTGAAAATATTTAAATCCGATATAGATACATGCTGCTCGTTCTGTAATATACCCAATGAAACTGCTGACCATATTTTTGGAGTTGCCCTCATACACAATGCTTTTGGATTGAACTTTCTTTAGATTTTCATCGTAAAATACTACCAGGATTCTTGTCATCTTTTAAGGATATCCTGCTGGGTTTTTTTTAATGCTCCTGATGATAAAAGTAAGGAATATTTTATTATTAATCTCCTTTTAATCCTTGCTAAGTTTCATATACACCACTGTAAATTCTCTCAGCGTATACCTTGTTTTATTGTTTTTGAAAAGGAAATTCAACAGTACATTAGAACTATTGCGTCCTCTAAAAATCTTAAAGCCATTAGAACGGTTAACTTATTTTCCCTTTTTAATTTTCTCAACACATAAGTTAATATTATTTGTTTTTCTCTTTATTGTTGTATTTGTTTCTCTTTTATGTGCTTATTTGATGCTTTGCTCCTCTGTAAAACTCATGCACACTCTTTGAAACAAATTCATATGATGTTATTGTTACCCTGACATAATTTTTTTTTTAAACGAGTGTGGTTCTGCGGTTCTGCACAGGATTTATCTCTTTTATACTACATTTGGTCAAATGTTTGGGGTATCATATCCTTTTTGGCCGGAACTTGTTTCTTAGTATGACATCACAAGACTGCGCCGCGCTCCCGCTTTCCGGATTCAGCGGAAGAAAGGTTTGAATTTTTTATCCGCTTGATGAGATTGTTTAACTTGTATTTATTAACCTTAATTTAGGAGTAAATCGCATCTAAACATGATTAAGATGAAGTGTGCTTCTTATTTCGCTCGGGATATCTTAAGTTTGTCTTAAACGTACGTTACTTGATCATTAGCGTGTAACTGTAATGTTAGTCGTTGAGAAGCGGAGCTTTTACTGCTTTACCTTCATCGTAGAAATGAAAACATAACAATGGAAATCGCAATATAAAGTCAAAATTGTAGCAAAACAATGAATTATTGTTTAAAACACCATGGTTAAAGTATCGGGTGTTGAATTATAGACGCGTGTCAAACTTTTTAAAACAGTTTAAGTCAAAACTAAACCGTTTTAAACGCTGTTTATGCTAAAACTAAGATTTCCTTATAATCACTGCAGGCTTAACGTTAAGTGCTCTAAACTTTGATATGAATATATTAGAAGAAAAACTGAAGAATTAAGGAAGTGTGAGGTGTTTTTTGTGCTCTATATGGGAACTTCATTCATTTTCTTGTCGGCTAAGTCCTTTTATTAATCGGGGGTCGCCACAGCGGAATGAACCGCCAACTTATCCATTCCAGGATGCCCTTCCAGCCGCAACCCATCTCTGGGAAATATATGGGAACTTAATAAATAAAATTAATTTTCTGAGTTTTTGCCTGCAGAATACAGAAGTCCACATTAAATCTTTATTGGAATTGTTTTGTTACATATAATAATATCCTGTGATGTTAAACCACAATTTAAAATATCTCAGATTAAAGCTGTATTCTGCCAGATTCATTCCGAATTTGTTTAAAACGTAATATTTAAACAAAGAAATAAGTGAGCCTTTCTTTATCTGCTTGATATGTGTCTGTTATTTATAATACAGATTTAACTGGGTAATTTGTATGTATGATTTTGAAGAAGTTCTTTAACTTAATTATTATTTTATATTATTATGCAGTATTTAAAGGCAGTTAGCCTGACATTCTCTAAGGTACATTCTCTATTAAACTCCTCTCTTTACGAATGAGCATTCAGAACAGATTTTTTAGGATGAAATTACAAATGCAAACTAAAATAAATAAGTATACTTAATAATACTTATTAGCCAGAATTGAAAGCATTATCATAAAATATGGTTGCCGAATATACTCAAAGCATAACATTCATAATTATCATACAATATTCATAAAATATACATTTTAAAATATAAACAAATATTTTGTCGAGAGACTTGTTTTACTTCATTCCTAAAGATTTGTTTGTGTAATCTGAGTATATGTGTCATTCTGTAATAAAAAATGTACTTTATCATAAAAATATTTTACAAATATGTAAGCAAAAAAAAAAAAAGAAAAAGAAATCGGCCCAACAGCTACTAAATTTAATTTCGGGTTGGTTACATACATTTAACAAGAATCATTTTAAAGACAGAATTTAATTTCCTAAACAGAAATGGGAAATTGTGAACAGACTTGAACTCATTCATTTTCTTTTCGACTTAGTCCCTTTATTAATCTGGGGTCGCCTCAGCGGAATGAACCGGCAACTATTCCAGCATATGTTTTACGCAGCATATGCCCCATACACACTCATTTACACACATACACTACGGACAATTTAGCTTACCCAATTGCCCTATAGTGCATGTGTTTGGACTGTGGGCGAGACTGGAGCACCCGGAGGAAACCCACACAAACACGGGGAGAACATGCAAACACCACACAGAAACACCAACTGACCCAGCTGAGACTCAAACCAGCTTGAACTCTTTATAAGTTAAACGATTTTAAAACATGATTTAAACATGATTGATGTCTCTGTTAAAACGATTGGTTAAAAAATAGTTTGAGTCAATAATATAGCTATTATTAAAAATTAAAAAAGATGTGAGGAGAGAAATTGTGAGATGATTACCGTAAATGAAGGTGAACTGTAAATGAAGAGCAAAAACAAGCATTTAATCACTTACACTTTTACAAACCAGCGTAAATGTGGTCATTTGAGTGCAGTCAGTTAAACATAATTAACAACTGATTGAATACCGAATGTAAATTTACAGCATGTTCTCCATGATTTGTGTTTGTTTATTAATGTTTGCAGGGTTCAACGCTAAGGACGTTTTCCACTGGCCCGATCGAGCCAGTGGTTCAGATTTTCACCTGCCCTGCTAAATTTGTACTGGCCCCACCACACAGAAGAAGGTAATAGCTTTTTCTTAACCACACACAGTATTTTAAGTATTTATAATGTTTCAAAAGCCAAACTAAATTTTAACACCTACCCTTTTATTCAGCATAACTTTTTTTTTAATACAACTGACAATTTAAAAAAAATATTTTGATGTAACTAAATTTAATATACATATATTTTTTTATAACTGTAGAGGTGCTGTGCGTTATTTATTTAACCCTTCAAGGTTAAGTGCTGACTGACAGGTGAGTGATGCGTGAGGTCAGCAAACACGACGTATAGCCGTTTCACTTTACTTAATGATGCATTATGACCACTTTGTAGGTCTTTATAAATATTAATATTAAATCTAATAAATGTTGGAGACATATTTGTTACATAAACGAGCTAAAGCACACTTCAGCAGTGTTTATTTGAGAGCTCGCAAGAAGATCTGCGCTTGAGCAGTGTATATTTGAGGAGGCGTGCAAGAAGTTTTGTGCACTAGCAGAGGTAATCGGTGCGCAAGCAAAGAGATTTGCATGCTTATAGGCTATTACATAAATGCGATCTTAACTTAATACTGCGCTCACGACATTTGTCATTGAAATAAGGGCACAGGTGGTTGGTAGATCTGTCTAAAAAAGGCCTGCCGCCACAGCTGGGAAAAATCCTAGAGTTAACTCTCTGTGTATGTATGTATGTGTATGTATATGTATATATATATATGTGTGTGTGTGTATGTGTGTGTATATATATATATATATATATACACACACACACACACACACACACATGCATGCTATCTGTCAAAAGTTTGGAGGCAGTTTTATACATTTTTTTTCATGTTTTTTTCTTAAAGGAAAATGATTAAGTTCAAGGTGAAGTTTATTAAATGTAAAAAAAAAAATTTAAAATCTATTCAGATATTTAAATAACTGCTTTCTTATTTTATGTAGTTTCAAATAAAATTACTACTCCAGTCATTAGTACTTTTATTACTGTTACTGATAATAATAATAACAACAATAATAATTAATATTAGAGTGATTTTTGAAGGATCATGTGACTCTTAAGACTGGAGTAGCGAAGCTGAAAATTCATCTTTAAAATCACTGGAATAAATAAGTACGTTAAATTATAAACTACTTTTGAACAATATCATTTCACAATTTTACAATGTGTGCTGTGATTATGATGAAATGAATGCAGCTTTGGTGAGCAGGAGAAGCTTATTTTAAAATATTTAACAATCATACTGACCCCACACTTTTGAGCAGTTGTGTATAAAAAGCAGAAATGTGCACTTTAATTTTGACACCCACAGACATAGTCAGCAAATATAAATCAGAGAGGTCAGACTTTCTCATACAGAGCCTCATTTCAGTTGTCAAGTTTTGTAAAAATCTATCTATTGAATTAATCGATCTCTTAAAAATACGTTGAGTAGAATTCTGCATTATAGGCTTAAATTATAGAGCGAAACAACAGATGATCTGAGACTGCATCAGATCATGAAGGAGATCAATGTTGAGCTTATTTTTGCACTGACAGCTCAAAAGAAAACAAAACAGCAGGCCTTATACAACATATTATTGGATTAAAATATGGAAAAATTATCAGATAGTAACTTTGGTCAGTGTTTCTAACTGATAAACAGCGCTCTGTAATATTTCAGCATGCTTTCACTTTCGCATTAGACATGAAATGCACACTTGCTGTTAGGAATGACATCTCGCCCTACTCATCATCCTCTCTTCGTATAGCCGTATATGTGGCTATTACACAGTCATATTACACTGATGTAGCCTCGGTCGTTAGCTTGTTGGATTGTTTTGTTTTCTCACTACAATCGATCCGCTCAATCAAGCAGAGACCACCTCATGCAGGCGATCTAGGACCAGTTGATTTGGTGCTGATCCGAGTGCAATTGCTGGATTCACATATGCCAAACGAACTGCACTAATCAACGTAAAACAAGACAGATTCAGAAACAAACGTCATTGTATTTGTGCGCAATTGACAGACAGTCGCAGCCAAACTTTTGTGACAAGGCAGCAGTGGCTGATTTGGCCAGTAACCATTCTGTACACTGCCCCGAGCTTCTCGCACACTGGCCCTGGGCAGTCCTTATTGTCAAGCCCTGGTTTAGTTATTGTTTTTTTTTTTTTTTTTATGGTCAATAACTCAATCTGACTGACTCCCTCATTAGTGTGCACATTAGCTGATTGGAACACACTAGCTTATGAAAATGACCCATGGTTTTACTACAAGCAAAACTCAAAAATATGGTTATTGTAGACAAATCATGTTACCACAACTTAATCTTGGTTTTACTACAATAACCAGAGTTAAACTTTGAAAATAAATGTACCACAAGTATATGCATACCAAATGATGGTTATTTTACTAACATCTCAGTGCATTTTAATGTGGGAGAGAGATTTATTTGTATGTTTTGTTGAATGTCCTCTAGTGTCCAAACCCAGAGAATCTCCTGCTGAAGCGACCGGCTCAGACTGTTATAAAGATGGCGTTGATTAAAGAGGAGAGTGAAGACATGATGACTGAAGAAACACTCGAAATCAAACAGGAAGATGCTGAGGAAGAAGCAGGTTGGTTTTCAACCTCAGTGCTTAACTCACTCATTTCAGCCTTATTTAAATGCCCACATCTACAAAAAAAGTCTGTATTCGGGGGTCAAAAAGGTTAGTGTGTTGGAAGACCTGACCGTAGCAGAAGTTATTCGTTTTACAATTAAAACATATTAGTGTAAACGTGGCCTTAATGATTTCAGCAAGTCGATCAGATCAGTGAGATTGCCACTATAACAATGTTTTCATAATTTGTGCAATGCGTTTATAGCCCGACATTATTCAAATGTGCAGCTGCAAACAGCTCTTTTGCCTTTTTACATGAATGAGTCGTTTATATGAGTCGTTTAGAATGACTGTTCTTATTGAACTGGCCGCTGGCCTCACCGCAGTCAAAATTTGTTCTTTTAACCTCTCCGTCATAATTTGTTTCACCTTTGCAGGGATAGATCTTAATGTTGTAACAAACTATTTGATTACTTTCTCGCGCTAATCTAAATGCATCACATGACTGTTCATTTATTGCACAAGCCCGACTCGACCCTGTCTAAAATGATAGAAATTAATTTCTATTTCCCGCATTTGGACGATAGTTTGTGGCCCCCGCCTTAATTTGAAAGTTTAATGTCAATGTGGCACGTGGATTTATTATGGCATATCAGTGAAAACAAATAATGGCATAGTGGCCTTTCTAAATAATGTCTGTATTTTCAAAATTGCAAAGAGACCATGTGTAAATCTGATAATGAGCCTGATCAAACGAGATCTGGAGAAGCTGAAACTGTGTCCCTGGATCAGAATAGTAGAGACCGAAGCAACGCAAGTCACGTCAGCCACAGAACATGACAAGAGCTGCTGTGGGCTGCTCTTGAAGATTAGACAGAGTGATTAAGTACTATTTTTCATTTGAAAATGAACTGAAATGGCTCTTTATAGAGTTAATGTGAGGTCTCTCTCTCTGACAAAAATCATCAAAGTCATGCGTACGAAATAAGATAAAAGAAAAGTAAGGAACTTGATGCCTAATGTCCATCGGCAATAAGGGTGTACTCACACTATGCTATCCAAACCGTGCCCAGGCCCGTTTCCTGGATCATTTGAGAAGTGTTCACTTGGCCAGCCCTGGCCCTGTTGGAAGAGGTTTGCCAGAGAGCGGTTCACTTGGGCTAGGCTGAAACTGAAAACAAGACGTGACTTTTAAAGGACTGTTTCATATGTGTTTATTAATCATTCTTACAGTTCAATGAATGCAAACTGTCGTAGATTATTAAAGACGCAAACCCATCACTGCACCACAGCTGTGCCTAAGAGTAAGAGTGATTGATAAATCCATATGAAACAGTCCCTTAAAAGTCAGGTCTTGCTTTTAGTTTCGGGCTCAGGCACATTTTGCACTCACACACAAGCGTACCGCGCCAAAGCCCAAGTGAATTGCGCCCAATTCAAGAGTTCACACTTAGCTGATAATCAATAAAGCGTATTTGGCATGCTGTCCCGGGAGAGAGCCCTGAGCTCGGAATATCCTCGAGCCCGGGGCTCCCTCCCGTTAGAAGGGCGAGAGGGAAATTCGAGGTCAGGTAGGTCTCGAGAACTCCCCTGCTTGTCACCGTGAGAAGTGTAAACTCAGGTTGTATTGGGTGATAATTTGTTTTAGTCGATTGGCTATGGTTTATGTTTTTGGGCGGTGGGAGGAAACCGGGGAACCCGGGGAAAACCCACGCGAACACGGGGAGAACATGCAAACTCCACACAGAAACACCAACCAGCCCGATGGGTTGGACTAGCGGTGTTCTTGCTGTGAGGCAACAGTGCTAGCCACTGGGCCACCGTGTCGCCCGATCAGAAAAAGTGGGAGGATGTAGGGGTGGAAAGGGGGGGAGCTTCAAGACGAAGATAACTAGAGTGGAAAACTCAGGTTATTTATAATGCTTCCGTAATCATCTAATAGGGCTGATTACGGAGCTAACAAGGAGCCAGCCGTGTTGATTATAAGCACGTGATCCTCTCGAAATTAGTTTATGAATAAACCACACTTCAGCGCACTCACACTTCTCAAACGATCCGGGAAACGGGCCTGGGCACAGTTCGGATAGCATAGTGTGAGAAGGCCCTAACTACACTGAAAACTAAAGGTGTGTTGAAGCCTGTTGCAGATTAGTTTTGCATTGCAGCTTGACATTTCTCTTTCGCACATAATTGCAAATTTGCCACACTCGCACTGTTGCTTTTTGTACTACAGTTCCTTTTAAACAATGTTTAACTCGTATTTGTCTCTTTTCGACCCTAGATCTGATTGTGATGAAATTGGAGGACGATGAAAAGAGCATGAAATTCGATCACCAAGTAGGCCTTGAAACTCACATTGAAGATAATTCTCACATTTGCTCAGAGTGTGGAGAGCGCTTTGAACTTAAAGAGTCTCTTGATGCACACATGAATATCCACAGCAGAGCGATGCCCTACACTTGCCTTCAGTGTGGAAAGAGTTTTACAACCGAAGCTCGTTTTCATACCCATTTAAGCATTCACTCTGGAATCAAGCCTTTCACCTGCCAATACTGTGGGAAAGGTTTCAGAAATGGCAGATGTTTTAAGCTCCATTTGAAAAGGATGCACGCTAGAGAGAAGCCTTACGCCTGTCAATACTGTGGAACGTGTTTCAATACTAGCAAAAAACTCAAAGCCCATGTCAAAACTCACCCTGAAATGAAAACCTGTGCCTGTGAACTGTGTGGAAAGCGTTTAAGTAGAAAAAGCTTAAAAAAACACATGAGGATTCACACCGGAGAGAAACCTTACTCGTGCTCTTACTGTGGAATGAGCTTCTCTTTTAAAACCTCTCTTAAAAATCACATAGTAAATCACACTGGCGAGAAGCCTTACTCGTGCTCCATATGTGGAAAGAGTTTTATTGAGCAAGGACGCCTCAAAATACACATGATAAGTCACAGCAACGAGAGGCCCTACTCATGCTCACAATGCGGAAAGAGTTTCAAAAGCCAAAGATGTGTTAGGTTACACATGAAAACTCACACCAACAAGAAGCCTCACTCGTGCTCTCAGTGTGGGAGGAGTTTTAATAAACTAGGAGACCTAAATGCACACATAAAAGCTCACTCTGACGAGAGGCCTTACTCGTGCTCCAAATGTGGAAAGGGTTTTATAAGCCAAACACGCCTTAATGTGCACATGAAATTTCACACTGCCGAGAAGCCTTTCTTCTGCTCTGAGTGTGGAAGGAATTTTAAAACCCAAGACTGTGTTAACAGGCACATGCATATTCACACTGTGGAGAAGCCTTACTCGTGCTCCACATGTGGAAAGAGCTTTATTCTGCAAAGTCACCTCAATGCACACATGATAACTCACAGGAAGGAGAGGCCTTACTCGTGCTCTCAATGCGGAAAGAGTTTCAAAAGCCAACGATATGTTGGGATGCACATGAAAATTCACACCGGCAAGAAGCTTTCCTCGCGCTCTCAACGTGAAAAAGCTTTTATAAACCAAGAAAGCCTTGACAAGCCCATGCAAACGCACTGCGATGAGAAATCCTACGCTTGCTCTCAATGCGGAAAGAGTTACAAAAGCCAAAAATATGTTAAAAGGCACATGAAAATTCACGCTGTTAAGAAGCGCTACTCTTGCATCAAGTGTGAACAGAGTTTTACTCAACGAAGACGTTTTAATGCCCACATGAGAACTCACACCGGCAAGAAGCCTCACTCGTGCGCTCAGTGTGGAAGGAGTTTTTCTTTACAAGCACTCCTCGACAGGCACATGAGTGTTCACACTAACGAGAAATCATATCTGTGCTCTGAAAAAGAAAAGAGTTTTGAAAGCCCAGAATGTCTTAGCGAGCACATGGAGATTCACACCGAAGAACAGAGCGACTCTTGCCAGGAAGTCGAAAAGTCTTACTCGTGCTCTCAGTGTGGAAAGAGTTTTGAAAGCCAAGTATGTCTTAGCAAGCACATGAAGATTCACACCGGAGAGGAGCTGAACTCTAATGGAGAAGTCGAGAAGTCTTATCCGTGCTCTCAGTGTGGAAAGAGTTTTAAAAGCCCAGTATGTCTTAGTGAGCACATGAAGATTCACACTAACAAGAAATCTTATTCGTGCTCCGAGTGTGGAAAGACTTTTGTAATCCGAGGATGCTTTATCAAACACATGAAGATTCACACCAGAGAGAAGCTGTACTCTAATGGAGAAGTCAAGAAGTCTTTCCCATGCTCTCAGTGTAGAAAGAGTTTTAATATACAAGCACTCCTCAACAGGCACATGAGTGTTCACACTAACGAGAAAACATATTCGTGCTCTGAGAATGACAACAGTTTTAAAAGCCCAGAATGTCTTAGAGAGGACATAAAGATTCACAACGAAGAGGAGCTCTACTCTTGCGAGGAAGTTGAAAAGTCTTACTTGTGCTGTCAGTGTAAAAAGAGTTTTAAAAGCCAAGAATGTCTTAGCGAGCACATGGAAATTCACACCAACAAGAAATCTTATTCATGCTCTGACTGTAGAAAAAAGACTTTTGTAACCCGAGGATGCTTTATCAAACTTATAAAGATTCACACCAAAGAGAAGCTCTCCTCTAATGGAGTAGTCGAGAAGTCTTTCCTGTGCTCTCAGTGTGGAAAGAGTTTTAATATACAAGCACTCTTCAACAGGCACATGAGTGTTCACACTAACGAGAAATCATATTCGTGCCCTGAGAATGACAACAGTTTTAAAAGCCCAGAATGTCTTAGCGAGGACATGAAGATTCACACCGGAGAACAGATCGACTCTTGCAAGGAAATCGAGAAGTCTTTCCAAACTGAGAGCACGAGTAAGACTTTTAAAAGCCAAAAATGTCTTAGCGAGCACATGGAAATTCACACCAAAAAGAAATCTTATTCGTGCTCAGAGTGTGGAAAGACTTTTGTAATCCGAGGATGCTTTATCAAACACATGAAGATTCACACCAGAGAGAAGCTCTCCTCTAATGGAGAAGTCGAGAAGTCTTTCCCGTGCTCTCAGTGTAAAAAGAGTTTTAATATACAAGCACTCCTCAACAGGCACATGAGTGTTCACACTAACGAGAAAACATATTCATGCCCTGAGAATGACAACAGTTTTAAAAGCCCAGAATGTCTTAGAGAGGACATAAAGATTCACAACGAAGAGGAGCTTTACTCTTGCGAGGAAGTTGAAAAGTCTTACTTGTGCTGTCAGTGTAAAAAGAGTTTTAAAAGCCAAGAATGTCTTAGCGAGCACATGGAAATTCACACCAACAAGAAATCTTATTCATGCTCTGACTGTAGAAAAAAGACTTTTGTAACCCGAGGATGCTTTATCAAACTTATAAAGATTCACACCAAAGAGAAGCTCTCCTCTAATGGAGTAGTCGAGAAGTCTTTCCTGTGCTCTCAGTGTGGAAAGAGTTTTAATATACAAGCACTCTTCAACAGGCACATGAGTGTTCACACTAACGAGAAATCATATTCGTGCCCTGAGAATGACAACAGTTTTAAAAGCCCAGAATGTCTTAGCGAGGACATGAAGATTCACACTGGAGAACAGAGCGACTCTTGTGAGGAATTTCAAATGTCTTACTCGTGCTCTCAGTGTGGAAAGAGTTTTGAAAGCCCAGAATGTCTTAGCGAGCACACGAAGATTCACACCGGAGAGAAGCTCAACTCTTGCGAGGAAGTCGAGAAGTCTTACTCGTGCCCTCAGTGTAAAATGAGTTTTGAAAGCCAAGAATGTCTTAGCGAGCACATGAAGATTCACACCGGAGAACAGATCGACTGTTGCAAGGAAATCGAGAAGTCTTTCCAAACTGAGAGCACGAGTAAGACTTTTAAAAGCCAAAAATGTCTTAGCGAGCACATGGAAATTCACACCAAAAAGAAATCTTATTCGTGCTCAGAGTGTGGAAAGACTTTTGTTATCCGAGGATGCTTTATCAAACACATGAAGATTCACACCAGAGAGAAGCTCCACGCTAATGGAGAAGTCGAGAAGTCTTTCCCGTGCTCTCAATGTAAAAAGAGTTTTAATATACAAGCACTCCTCAACAGGCACATGAGTGTTCACACTAACGGGAAATCATATTCGTGCCCTCAGAATGACAAGAGTTTTAAAAGCCCAGAATGTCTTAGAGAAGACATAAAGATTCACACCGAAGAGGAGCTCTACTCTTGCAAGGAAGTTGAAAAGTCTTACTTGTGCTGTCAGTGTAAAAAGAGTTTTAAAAGCCAAGAATGTCATAGCGAGCACATGAAGATTCATACCGAAGAACAGAGCGACTCTTGCAAGGAAATCGAGAAGTCTTTCCAAACTGAGAGCACGAGTAAGACTTTTAAAAGCCAAAAATGTCTTGGCGAGCACATTGAAATTTACACCAAAAAGAAATCTTATTCGTGCTCCGAGTGTGGAAAGACTTTTGTAATCCGAGGATGCTTTATCAAACACATGAAGATTCACACCAGAGAGAAGCTCTCCTCTAATGGAGAAGTCGAGAAGACTTTCCCCTGCTCTCAGTGTAGAAAGAGTTTTAATATACAAGCACTCCTCAACAGGCACATGAGTGTTCACACTAACGAGAAATCATATTCGTGCTCTGAGAATGACAAGAGTTTTAAAAGCCCAGAATGTCTTAGCGAGCACACGAAGATTCACACCGAAGAGAAGCTCAACTCTTGCGAGGAAGTCGAGAAGTCTTACCCGTGCTCTCAGTGTAGAAAGAGTTTTAATATACAAGCACTCCTCAACAGGCACATGAGTGTTCACACTAACGAGAAAACATATTCGTGCTCTGAGAATGACAAGAGTTTTAAAAGCCCAGAATGTCTTAGCGAGCACACGAAGATTCACACCGAAGAGAAGCTCAACTCTTGCGAGGAAGTCGAGATGTCTTACTCGTGCTCTCAGTGTGGAAAGACTTTTAAAAGCCAAAAATGTCTCAGTGAGCACTTGAAGATTCACACTAACAAGAAATCTTATTCATGCTCTGAGTGTGGAAAGAGTTTTGAAAGCCCAGAATGTCTTAGCGAGCACATGGAGATTCACACTGAAGAACAGAGCGACTCTTGCGAGGAAGTCGAAAAGTCTTACTCGTGCTCTCAGTGTGGAAAGAGTTTTAAAAGCCAAGAATGTCTTAGCAAGCACATGAAGATTCACACCGGAGAAGAGCTGAACTCTAATGGAGAAGTCGAGAAGTCTTATCCGTGCTCTCAGTGTGGAAAGAGCTTTAAAACCCAAGAATGTCTTAGAGAGCACATGGAGATTCACACCGGAGAACAGAGCGACTCTTGTGAGGAAGTCAAAAAGTCTAACTTGTGCACTCAGTGTGGAAAGAGTTTTGAAAGCCAAGAATGTCTTAATGAGCACATGGAAATTCACACCAACAAGAAATCTTATTCGTGCTCCGAGTGTGGAAAGACTTTTGTAATCCGAGGATGCTTTATCAAACACATGAAGATTCACACCAGAGAGAAGCTGTACTCTAATGGAGAAGTCGAGAAGTCGTACCCGTGCTCTCAGTGTGGAAAGAGTTTTAATATACAAGCACTCCTCAACAGGCACATGAGAGTTCACACTATTGAGAAATCATATTCGTGCCCTGAGAATGACAACAGTTTTAAAAGCCCAGAATGTCTTAGAGAGGACATAAAGATTCACACCAAAGAGGAGCTTTACTCTTGCGAGGAAGTCCAAAAGTCTTACTTGTGCTGTCAGTGTGGAATGAGTTTTGAAAGCCAAGAATGTCTTACCGAGCACATAGAGATTCATACTAGAGAACAGAGCTACTCTTTTGAGGAAGTCGAAAAATTTTACTTGTGCGCTCAGTGTAGAACGAGTTTTGAAAGTCAAGAATGTCTTAGCGAGCACATGAAGATTCACACTGGAGAGACGCTCAACTCTTGCGAGGAAGTCGAGAAGTCTTACTCGTGCTCTCAGTGTGGAAAGAGTTTTTCAACCGAAGCTCGTTTTCATACCCATTTAAGCATTCACTCTGGAATCAAGCCTGTCACCTGCCAGTACTGTGGGAAAGGTTTCAGAAATGGCAGATGTTTTGAACTCCATTTGAGAAGGATGCATCCTAGAGAGAAGCCTTACGCCTGTCAATACTGTGGAACGTGTTTCAATACTAGCAAAAAACTCAAAGCCCATGTCAAAACTCACCCTGAAATGAAAACCCGTGTCTGCGAACTGTGTGGAAAGCGTTTAAGTAGAAAAAACTTTAAAAATCACATGAGGATTCACACCGGAGAGAAACCTTACTCGTGCTCCATATGTGGAAAGAGTTTTATTCAGCAAACACACCTCAATATGCACATGATAAGTCACAGCAACGAGAGGCCCTACTCATGCTCACAATGCGGAAAGAGTTTCAAAAGCCAAAGAAGTGTTAGGATACACATGAAAACTTACACCAACAAGAAGTGTTATTCGTGCTCTCAGTGTGGGAGGAGTTTTAAAAGCCAACAAAGTGTTTGGAAGCACATGGAAACTCACGACGACAAGAAGCCTCACTCAAGCTCTCAACCTGGAAAGAGTTTCCCTTCACTAGGAAGCCTCAGCAAGCACAGGAATATTCAGTCTAACAAGCAATCCTTTCAGTGCTCAGAGTGTGCAAAGACTTTTACACTCCGATCGTCTCTTATCAGACACATGAAGATTCACACCGGAGATAAGCCTCACTCGTGCTCTCCCTGTGGAAGGAGTTTCTCTTCACTAGAACGCTTCACCAAGCACATGAAAACTCACACTAACTAATCCCACCCGTGCGCCGAATGCGGACTTTTATACATCAAGGATCCTTTATCAGACACGTGAAGATTCACACTGGAGATAAGTCTCACTCATGCTCTCAATGTGAAAAGACTTTCACTCAAGAAGGAAGACTCAATATACACGAGACTTCACAACAAAAAACTGTAAGCTTAGATGTTACATCCACACTGGTGATTAGTTATTAGTCACCATTCCACTGCATTTGTTCAGGAGATCTCCAAGTCTTCACCTTCTGCTTAAACACTCTAGAGGTCATCTCTGAGGTATTTAGAGAGTTCGTAGATCTGTTCTCGTTTATTGCATTGTTTAGTGTGGAAATACTTCCCTAATTATTTAGAAATGAACTTGTTGATCTTTGGTTTTCTTGGGGACTGATGATATTGTATATGGTAACAGACACAGCTATGCAATCAGAGGCTCTACTGGGATGTAAATATAAACCTGGCAGCCCTTCTTGGCTTTCATTGGAGGAACTGATTCAGACAATGTAAAGAGGGATGGTGATAAACCTATGCTATATGTGTATTTTGGGCTATTGAATATATTCTGTACAGACATTGAAGTTAAAGGTTTGGATGGGAAGTTTAATGAAGTTTCTACTGTTGCGTATAATGTGGGGGGATAAAGAAATAAAGAAAAATTGCATGATTAGACAGCATGGTATCATCTTTCAAAGTGCATATATTCATGTAGTACTACGACTCCAAACTAGAAAAGGTTGGGACAATATGGAAAAGTTATTTTCATTGCAAACCATAAGAACACAAATATTTTGTTGTGTTGTTTGGTCAACTTCATTTCATTTGATCATATATATCCTTTCCTGTCATTCAGACCTGTGACACATTCCAAAATAAGTTGGGACGGGCAGTTTTCTGCAGACTAAATGTGTAAATTTATATTTATTCCGTTCTTAAAATAATTTCTGTAATATTATTAATATGAAAATGTTGATTTGATTTAATTACAATACAGATTGCGAAGTAATCATTTCTGTTTTTTAGTAGATATATGGTAGATATATGAGAGACCAAATAAATGGATATAATTGGATTTGCATTGTAAACATGAAATAAAAGTTCAAAATTGTGTATACATTTTTAATTTAACATATTAAGTTTTCAGCTACGATACACCCAAAATCATTCCACAGAAATCCACAGACGTTTTACAATGTTCTGCGCAGAAATAGCAAAAAGCGTTTACAAAATTGACTGAAAATAGATATTTTAGTAGCTTTATTATTTGACAAAATATTAAGTGATGAAGCCTTAAGTTCATTAATATGAAGATTATAAGTTCTTATGTAAAGACACCGTGTAGTGGAGGAGTTTTAAAATATCTGCATTAATAAATAACATATTTGGCTGATACAATGATCATATTGATCAAATCCTGCAAAACAGAGCAATCTTTAGTAATTCCATATAGTAAATCCTGTAATGTGGAAGTCAAACCTTCAGCATCCACAATCTTTATTATCAACCAGTCTTGCACTTTTTTCTAAAACAATTGAACAGAGCTGCAAGTAAAAAATGTTCTGTATCTTTAATTAAGTGTTTACATGTCATGGTGAATTCTCCAAATTAAATTTCAAGTGTAAAAACCTATTAGAAGAAGTTATGTCATTTAACATTTTAAATATTCTTTTGCTTTGGGCAGAACTGCAAATTTAAGACATTTCGTTCTAAAATGTTTAACAGTATTTCATGCAATGAATGAAATCATTTCTTAATACTTGATAGAGGAAGCAAGATTGGATAATAATTTGTCTTTAATAGACTTTTTTCTGTTTGATTTATTTAATTAGTATTTTTTTAACACAATGCAAAATATGAAACATAAAAAACTAAAACAATGGTAAAAAAAACAACGATAAATAAAGAAAAATAAATTACACAAAGTCTAGTGTACAGCATTTCTACATGCAATGAGTTTAAGAGTTGACAGGGGATTCAAAATAATTGTCATAATAATTAGTGCACATCTCAGATTTTTTCTTTTCAACAATTCCACAGTAGAAATAAAACAAGTCAAACTCGATACAAAAAACTGTTAATGAGGGAGATGATTTAGCATATTTCTGTTTGTGTATGTAAAACTTTGCCAATAAAATAAAGAGATTAACGTTATATTCAAGACATTTGTAGGATTTGTTTTCTTAATAAAAAATAATATATTTTAATGTAAAATAGCAACTCAGTTTTGTCCTTTTAAAATTATATTTGGCTCGATTCTTCAAGAAATTCTTTAAAATGTTGCATATAAAAAAAGACAAAGCCTCTCTTTATCCACATTGCAGAAACCAAATATCCTCCGTTTTAATGTACTTTGATACAAACGATTTTACTGGGTAATTTGTATGTAATATTTTAAAATTGATTTCCTTATTTTTATTATCAATAGTGTATTTGAAGGGAGTTAATCTGGCTCTTTGCAATTAATATCAACTATAAAAGAGAACCAGAATAAATTGTCTCTAGGAGTAATTTTATTTTGCTTCTGAAAAATATTAAGAATATGTTTGTTGGTACATTTTTTATCAGTCAACTCAAACTCAACACCTTCTAAATGTAATTTTGAGTTTACAACAGACAGAAAATTATAGCAAATATGATTTTCAACAAGTTGAATAATTATTACAGGGATAGATTTAATAACTGAATTAAATTCTCTGAAAAATATTTAGAAGCTGTGAGTAGACATGAATTGTTCATATGATATATAGAATATTCCCGGAACTGTCACACAGTTTTAAAAGATATTTAATGTCTCTAATAAAACAATTTACTAAGAATAAATATTTGTTTAAAGAGGTTGTGTTACCATTATTCAAAATAAAGGAGGCGTGAGGAGAAAAATGTTGACAGTAACAAATTTTTCAAGCATGAGTTTGTTTTTAATGGGACTTTTATCTCGGTGTACTCTGGGCGTGACGTCATAAAGGTGCGTCGCGCTCCGTTTCTGTTTTTGGCTAAAGAAAGGTTTGTCTTTTTAATAATAATCTAACATTTTGTAGATGAAGCGCGTCCGTAAATAAAATTGCTCAACACATGCGTCTTATTTCGCCACTCGGTTCATTGCGAACGCGAATTCCGAATTAATTTGCTGGGAGTTTGGAAACGGAGCTTTTTGAAAGTGCGAGTCAATTGAATCGATTACTGCAAAATGATTCACTGTTTTGAATCGTTCGAATCGCCGCACACTGGCGTCAGTATTAAAGCCAACATTAATAAACCAAAATCATGCTTATAGCTTTTAATCAATGTTTTTTTAATACTTGTTTTAACTATACGTTTAGAGAATTAATTGAATTAATAGACATCAGTGTGTAAAAAAGCCTCCCCCAATAAGGTACTATTTTTATTAAAATAATAAACCATTGGTTAATTTTTAATAAAGGGGACATTTATTTTGGTGTTTTGTTGAATATATTCTAGTGTCCAAACCCAGAGAAACTCCTGCTGCAGCGTCAGACTCTTATAAAGATGGCGTTTATTAAAGATTGAAGAAACATTCAGTCAAACATGAAGACCCTGACGAACACACAGGCTGGTTTTCAGCCTCAAAACTCCACTCACTCGTTTGAGCCTCATTTAAATGTCCAGCTCTACAGAAAAAGGGAAATAACGGTACAGACACAACCTAAACAAACACTCTACAGCTCAACCTTTTACAGTAAATACCAAAACAACCTCATTTACAACAGAATGGAGTTACCAGGGCCGTTGCTAGATATAAAGCTCTACTGGGGCACGACAAATATATATATATATATAAATTTAAGATCATTTAAGAAATCTTTTGCATGAATATTCATTTCATTTGAATGAAATTCTACAGACAATTCAACAAAAAGCAAAAAAAAAAAGATGATTTATAGAATTATCAGTTGTCTTAGACTTGACACATGGCAGATAATTAGGTTTATTAAGTCTTACCTCCCTGACTCTTCATCCAGGTTTGCTTTGTATTGTGTTTGCTTCATACAAAAAAAAAAACTTCCAGGAGGCGTGCTTTGTAAGATCACCACAATGGTTAAACTTTAGTTAGTTTTGTCGACTTGCCAAACAAAAAAAGGCTGTTACGCCAGTTTTACAACACATTAGCGGTGCATAAGCAGCAAGTAGCCTACTTTAACGGGACTCGCACTTGAGAGGCGTGCGGGATCTCTGCACACTTGCGGAGATGCGTCAGTTTGCTTTTTGATTAAACTACATTGCTTTCACCAGCGTTGGTTCAGTTGCACATAGAGAATAACGTCTTTATTTCGGAATAACCACTCCTAATAAATACACTTGCATATGAAGTAAATCGTATCTTAGAGCGTTTATTGGGTCACTGGTGATTTGTAGTGGGGCACGTGCACCAGTAAATTGGGTCTAGCGACGCCCCTGGCAGTTACACTAGATTTTGCCTTGATTTGCGCACCGATGTCTTCTGCATAGTCCTCTATCCATCAAGTGACATCGTTTGCATTTAAAATAATCTGATTCATTTACAACTTTTCACTGAGTCATTTCATTTCAGCTGTTTTTGGTAGCTCAGCATTAAAACAGGTTGAGTCAAATTAGAAATGACGATCTCTTTAAAAGGCATTCACCCCAACCCTCTCCATCCGTCTCACTGTCTTCTCAGATGAGATGGTGGGCCAAATCAAAGGTTAAAATGGGCTAACTTTGTCCCGCAGGCCCTACTTTGGGTATATCTGTGAAGCGGAGGCCAGCTATTGAAGTGCTGTGCAGGTAAACCTCACTCCTCTGACCTCTAAAGCTGCGTTCACACCAGACGCGAAATGTGTGTCAAGCGCAAGTGACTTACATGTTAATTCAATGCAAACGCGCAAATAGACATCCTGCGGCGCGATACGCGCGAATGACGCAAATTGCGCGGGCGAATTGAGTGTTTTAAGCGTTTAAGGTGCTTAACGAGCGTTTCGCGCGAATCTCTCGAGTTCGAAAATTTGAACTTCAGCGTACATTCGCGCCGCGTTGACCAATCAGAAGCTTGCTCTTGTGGGGGCGTGATTGTGACGTAGAACCTGTTGTCGGTGTTCCGAGGGAAATCCTCCAGCCTTCACCGACAACAGTTCATCAAACTGGGCTGGGCTCAGTCAGAAGCACCGCTGAGAGCCTCCGTCATCCAGGTTCAGTTTCTGGAGGAGTTTATGAGCTCACAGAGCTGGATGCACCTCTGAAAGGATGTAGTAGACTCAGACACGACCCTAAACGTATCGACGCTGTTTTTCAGTCTTCATAAAGCACATAAACACTGTTATTTTCTTATAAAATCTATGTTAGCCATTTAGCTATGAAGCTAGAGTCTTCGGGCAGACAGAAGACCTGCCCATCACGCGAATTCGCGTCTGTTCTGAAGTGAATTTGACACGCGAATGAATCGGGGTTTAACGCGCGAATAAAGCGAGTAAACTCAAATGTTCACGCGGCTATTTATGCGCGAATAGCGCGATTTATCCACGCATTCCGCGTCTGGTGTGAACACAGCATAAAGGTGCTCTAGCAACAGACGCTAGAGGCCATGGTCTTTAGCCTCCTTGTTAGAGCAACCAACTCCCATGCAGAAGTTTGTCAGTTTGATCCCAGCTCAAAATGGGTTGGGTGGTGTAGGACCAGCGGGGGTTATATTGGTGCTGTGACCCGGATGGGAGTGAGGTTTAGGGGGTGAGTGCAGCAGAGGCAAGCTAGTGAAGTGCTATGCAGGTAAACCTCACTCCTCTGACCTCTAAAGTTGCTCTAGCGACGGACACTAGAGGCCATGGTCTCTTGTTAGAGCAACCGACTCGCATGCGGAAGGTCGTCGGTTCAATCCCAGCTCTGGGTGGTGTAGGACCATCGGGGGTTACACATGCTCAAAAATATCCATCTTGAGCTCTTCAGTGGGATTCGACACTTGTTAACCACACGGCCCCGCCCAGAGTCTCCACCGCTACCAATCACAGAGCGTGCGCTACACATCAGAGTCAGTCACGATGAAGGGTGTGCGTCATCTGTGTGCACTCGATGCAAATATAAATCAACCTTTAACATTCACAAGGTGTATTATATTCCAAAACAAATTCCACAACGTCGACATGTTTAGGGTTTCTTTCTAGTGTGGATCCTCATGTGGACTTTCAGGTTTCCATTTCTACCGAAACCTTTTCCACACTGTGAACAGGCGAACGGCTTCTCTCCGGTGTGACTTCTGATGTGGTCATTGAGAGAGCCTTTATATAAGAAACTCCTCTCGCACTGAGGGCAGGTGTACGGCTTCTCTCCAGCGTGGGCTTTCAGGTGGTTTTTAAGCAGTGACTTGTGACTGAAGCGTCTCCCGCACTGCTCACAGCCGAACGGCTTCCCTCCGGCGTGGATCAACATGTGGACTTTGAGGATTGTGATGGTGCCGAAGCTCTTCCCGCACTGCTGGCAGGTGTAGACGGGCGGTTTCTCTCCAGTGTGAGTCTTCATGTGGAGCTGGAGCTGTCCTTGATGAGTGAAGCTCTCTGCACACTGCCGGCAGCTGAACGGCTTCTCTCCGGTGTGGATTCTTACGTGCGCATTCAGACAGTGTTTGTATGAGAAGCTCTTTCCACACTGCGAGCAGACGTGCGGCTTCACTCCGGAGTGAGTCCTCATGTGGACATTGAGAGATTTCTTGTGTACGAAACTCTTTCCGCATTGAGCGCAGGTGTTGTGAGGCTTGTCTTTAGTGTGAATTAGTATGTGGGCATTAAAGGAGTGTCTATGTATAAACGTCTTCCCACACTGAGGGCAGGTGTACAGACTCTCTCCAGTGTGAACACTGAGGTTTTCCTGCTGATCCAAACTCTCTTCGCTCTTCTCTTCCGGCACAATCCGATCTAGGGTGAAGAGGGACACACACACATTTGTTAAAGGGCACTTGTGATGAAACTCATCATTTGTAAGCTGTTTGGACAGAGCTGTGTGTAGTGCAGTGTCCACAGTCATATTGAACTAATATGAACACAATAAGTCTCTTTTTTAAAATGTCCTGACGCTTAAAGGGTCACGAAACACCAGAACACATGTGATGAGCTGTTGACAGTGGTATATGTGTCCCACACTGCTAAAAACACTATTAGGACACCTATATTTCACTAAAAAGTGTAAATTGGTTGTTTTTGCGTTATTTCGAGTAAATTCGTACTTCCGGTTTGAAACGAATTTTTGAAGCTGCGTCACGGTCATGACATAATAGCGTGTATTCCAGCGTGCAGACTGGACGTCTGTGCCAGAGTGAGTCTTATTACGTCTTACAGTGTGCTGCATTAATGCATGAGTAAAGCTTGGTTCAAACCAATCAGCGCGCTCTATTGTGCAACTTCATTAATATTCATTACTGTCACAGTGTTTAGACGACAGAGACGCCACATTGTGTTGGCAAAACAAGCGTGAAGTGTTGCTTTTATAGTTTGCTGCAGTGAAGTTTTGTTTTCATTTTCTTTCTGTGAGAGCTCAGCTGGAGTCACGTGTGGATTAACAGTGTACGCGACGCTCGACAACAATAACTTACGTGTCTAAGGAGGATTATTGTTTACCTGAGAGCTGTTCTCATCTGCAAACGCTGAGATCCGGATTCGCTTGTAGTCTCCTCTTAATAAAGACGCGGCTCTAGTTGCTGGTGATTGTCCTGTCTCTACAGATTTGGTAAGTGAGTGACCAGTGCTCTTTGTTTATTCAGTTTGTTCGTATCGAACTAACTATTGCACCGAGTGTAAACATGTTAGCACCACAACCAAACGTTAACCTCGTGTAGGGTTTTAACCGCATTTAGTGACCGGTATAACACACGCGGCTTTCTGACGCTACCTGCCGTGTGCATCTAAGTTTCTGGGAAATGCGGAGGGTTTTTTTCTCTCATTCGCCGTGCGGTATCAAACATTGCATGAAAAATACACGCTTAGAGCAGCTCCTCGAATCAAATATCTCGTTTGTCGCGAGGGGCATGAATGAATTCCCTGAATGAAAGAGCCAAACTGCAGTTAAAGTCCACCATTTAATCATTTGGCAAATAATTCGACTACAGATGTCCATGTAAACAGTCACTTTCTCCCCTGTGTGTGTGTGTGTGTGTGTGTGTGTGTGTGTTTTGACTCTGAAACTCAGCGCACCCAAATAGACACTCCCACACCCTCCCACTTTAGTTCCTCTGACACTCCCCCCTAAACAGAGCTGGACACGCCCACTTTTCTGACTTTTTCCAAAGTAGAGGTGTGAAAACACCCTGCTGAAACGAGGGGGCTTCATGGCCCTTTAAATAAAGCTTAAATGAGTGAGTGGAGCTTTGAGGATGAAAACCAACCTGTTTGTTCCTCAGGATCTTCATGTTTGACTCTAAAAGCTTCTTCAGTCTCTTCATGTTTGACTGTGAATGTTTCTTCAATCTTGATGTCTTCACTCTCCTCTTTAATAAACGCCATCTTTATGTGTTTCTCTGGGTTTGAACAAAAATAAACAAAAGTAAATCTCTCCCTTTTTAAAACAGACTGATTAGTGTAATAAATTGCATTTATCATGGCAGAAAGGATTTTCTGTTGGTACGTTGATTACTACTCTTATGAACAGTTTTCTACAATTTCCCAGAGATGTGTTGCGGCTGGAAGGGTATCCGCTGCGTAAAAACTTGCTAGATAAGTTGGCGGTTCATTCCACTGTGGCGACCCCGGATTAATAAAGACACTAAGCCGACAAGAAAATGAAGTTTTCTACAAATATCATAAACCTGCTCAATGGTTTGTCTACAATAATCATGTTTTGGTTCTTCATGATTCATTTTCACAAGGGCCGAGTGTGTTTCAATCAGCTCCCTAGTTCAGTAGCTGGACTGCACAATATATCGTTTCAGCATCGACGTCTCAATGTGATCATTCGCATTAGTTAGATCGCGAGTGTATGCAATGTTGAGTCTGGGTTATAATTGATCATTTTGCAAATGTTTTTGAGGCCTGCGACTGTGTGAAGGGTTTAAAAGCATTCAGGCATAAGGAAATGCACCGATTGTAACTTTAAAAAAATTAATAAGGATTATTTTTTAATGGAATTGTTTATAGACTTTGGTTTTATTTTACATTTGATTATTTAATCACTGTATACCTGAATACATTGACTGTATTATGTATATAATAAACTGATTCGCGATATCAATTAAAATGAGACGCATATGTTGATTTAATACAGAGCTGACGCGGTTTATTTATGACTATGTTAATAATTATTGGATAAATCAAGACTTTAAACTGTTATTGATGTACCCCCTGAAACAGGGGAGAGAATTACTAATAAATACCAGACACACTCTGCGATGTTTCTCCACTGCTGACTTTATGCGTAATCATATTTGTTTACAAATTCAAATAAACATATTCTCCAAACAGCATCATTGTCATCTTAATGTCACACAATTTCCAAAAATTGCTATGTAAACTTGTAACAATGTACACTAGTTAGTTAATTTTACATTTAACAATATTATAGAACACTTATAAAGTTTTAAGCATTTATCATCGTCGGAAAAGCACTTCTCATTTTTAATCCGATACTTTAACATAAATAAACTACAGGGTTCTTACACCTTTTCCAACTTCAAATTCCAGCACTTTTCAAGCACTTTCAAGGTACATTTGTATGCTTTTCAGCACCTAATAACCACGGTTAAATATGTTTATTTATATTGTATGTACTTTTTCACATTTAAATCTATTGTGCTATTTTAAAAAACTAAAAATTGTTGAGCACTTGGATTTATTGGGATAGTTCACCCAAAAATGATTAAAAAATAAATAAATAAATAAAAACTTTAGTTATTGGATGAAGTATACTTTTAAGTTTGGTCTCTTTCTACCTAAAGTTGATATCTCAAGAAATGAGCTTACAGTCAGATTTTGTTTGGGTGTAGTACCAACCTTTCATGACCAGTCGTTCATGATATTTCATGTGCATTGCTATTATTTCTATACAGTCATTGGATTGTCGTTTCAGTCGTTTCTATAAAAATCTGACTTAAAAATTTAATTTGTCTTAAATTTCAGACGTTCAATAATCAAGTTAAGAAATACAAAATTAAAAACATTTCTAATAGGACATAATCAGTAGTATTAACTTACAATTGTTAATAATTCAATTTAACACATTTCAAATTCAGATTGTTTTGGCATATTAGCTCCACAAATGCGCACATGCGGTGAACATTTTGCAATAAAAAACTAATCGCACAACAGATTATGCACTCGCACAAATGCTCCCAAATATATTTGGGATCACATATTATATATGTAGGTCACATAGACAAGTTTTAAACATATATATTGAGGTCACATAGACACAATAGTGCACGTATGCAACCAAAACAGTCACAATTTCAAGCCCTGCAAATTCAACCAGGTTCAAGCACTTTGTCCAAAATCCAAGCACTTTTCTAAACTTGAAAACGCTATATTAAAAATCAAGCATTTTCCAGGATTTCCAGAAGAACTCTGAAACTAAAGCCAAATATTTAAACAACATATAATTAATCTTTTTAAACTATTATTTTAGCTGGATGTGCATCGTCTTTCTCTAATTATTTATCCATCACTGTTACAGTGCCAATTACTTTCACTTTTCCCAGGAATACACACACAGAACATTAAACAACAGCCTTGAACATCAATTGAAAATGTGCGCGCTCATAATGTCACTAATGGCCTCGTGTTAATCATATTCAAAAATGGAGCCCAGAGCTCGTGCTCTTCCGAACTAAATACTCTTATTAATATTCTCAACAGAACCCGGACACTCTTACCGCTGTCAGAACATTAACACATTACATTAAACTGATTAGGAAAACACATACCTGAAACAGGGGAGAGAATTACTAATAAATACCAGACACACTCAGATGTTTCTCCACTTCTGACTTTATGTGTATTGGAGAAAAACCGCGAGCTCTCCCCCTAGTGTTCAGTCAAGGCATTACTATCGATCACCAAGCATCTCAGACTAAACATGTCGAGCACAGATCAGTACAAAACACACAGATTTGCAGGTGTTTTGAATGGTGAAATGTGAAATACCCTATTTTTTGTGTGTGCAGTTTCCCTTTATAACGTTGTTCACAATTAAATATGTGACTGTCGAACATGACACACTTTTTTATTTTGGTTAAAATGGGTTATTTAATGTGAACACGCTTACTTTATCATAATTTTTAGGCTTATAAGCCTTTTTGCACTATATACTGTTCTTTATCTGCACAACTCTGGTTTGCATTCATTGCCATATGCCCTTAATGTCATTGTATTGTTTACAAAACTTTAGTCTTTCTTTTTTTATTCTTTTGAGTACATTTTAGGTATATATTTAGATTACATTTTAGGTATATATTTAGATTGCATTTTATGTATAATTGTATTTATTGTAAATTCTTTCTTAAAACTCTACTTTATGTATTAACATTATATGTTAGGCACCTAGGGTCTGAGAGTAACGTAATTTCGATTCTCTATATGTCCTGTACATGTGGTTGAATTGACAATAAAGCTGACTTTGACTTGACTTTTTACTTGCACGATTATTACTACAGCGACTTGATATTTTGTTTGGGACTTTTATATTGGCGAGAGGTCATGACGTCATAAAGCGGCGCTCCTGCATCAGCAGCAGAAAGGTTTGCTTTTAACCGGTTTAAGTGAAGATTAATCAAACTTTATGGCCTTTTATTTCACATCTAGCCGCAGCCGCATTTAATTAACAACATATGCCATAGTCATCTGCAGGTCACATATGTTTACTGTTGTTAAACATTCTCTCTCTCTTTCTAATTAATATAAAAAACTACGTCATGCTTTTTAATATATTAATCTCGGTTAATATTAATATATATTAATCTTGGAGTATTCTGCATGTGTGTAATTTTATTGTTCGTAAAATATAGGTAAACCATTTTTAACAATAACATTACATTATTTTTTAATTGTAACCACAATATTTTTCATGCAAATATATTTATATCTGTGAAGCACAAACATGAACTTGTATGGCATTTGTGTGGTTTGCATATATTGGCGTATATATTCAGATCTCTGTGCCTTTGTTTTCAATTGTGACTTTTGGTTTCAATTTTGAACGGGACTTTTATATTGGAGATCAACTATGACGTCACAACGCTGCGCCCCGCTCCTGTATCTGCAAGTCGGCCGAAAGGTTTGTTTATAGTCGTTTGAAGTGAAGATTTATCTGTTATTCATTAACCATACTTAGTGAGTAAAGCGCATCAGCACACGATTAAGAAAACCATGAGACTCTTTATGCTGCTGATAGTGTGAATCTGTTTATTATGAACATTAATTGATAGTAACGGGTAACGGTAACTACGAGACATCGCAATCATTACTCTGCATCTTGATTCACTCGCGTCACCTGGTCAAACAGCAAATTGCAATTCAACAAATATTTATTGTGCTTTTATTAATGTGCAGTGTTAGTTTGAAGTGTTTTAAAGATAAATGAGTGTTTTATTGATTATTGCCTCTAATCACAGATTGCTTAAAGATGGCGTTTATTAAAGAGGAGAGTGAAGACGTGAGGATTGAAGAAACATTCACAGTCAAACATGAAGAGACTGAAGAAGCTTTCACAGTTAAGCTTGAAGAGATTGAAGAAGCTTTCAGAGTCAAACATGAAGATCCTGAGGAACAGACAGGTTGGTTTTCATCCTTAAAGCTCCACTCACTCATTTGAGCCTTATTTAAATGTCCAGGGGTCACAGCAAGACTGAGTAAAACAGGGAACAATCAACACCGCAAGACATGTTTACCAATAATATATATATATATATATATATATATATATATATATATATATATATATATATATATATATATATATATATTTTACAACTGCAACAGGAAGCAGTACAAAAGCACCCACATCAAAGGAAAAAACAAACATAGCAATAAATATTCTGAAAATTAAGTACAAAGAGCTTAAAGAGCCCATATCATACATGAAATAGGGTCATATTTTGGTTGTAAGAGTCTCCAACAACAGTCTAATATGCATGCAAGGTCAAAAAACACTTTCATTATCTTGTAATCTGCATTTACTTTTACCTAATTATCTCAGCGACTCCCGTATGAATCTTCTAGTGATTCATTTGTTCCCAAACCCCTCTTTAGCGCCAGGCTAATCTGCGCTGATTGGACCGATACTGACTGCCTTCAGCGCAAGACAGAGGGAAATGCCTAGCCGCTAATTAACAATATTGAAGTAGTCACAGAGCATACACGCTTCATAGTTTAAGGCATGGATTTTAGCTGCCAGTGGATGAATGTAAATACAGACGATGGACTTGAAAATACCGACGACTAACTATTTTATTAAGCAAAAACTCCAAGAACTGGCGAGGAGATCTCCTAGCTTGTCACACTCTGCTCTTTTCACACACACACACACACACACACACACACATTGCCTTCCACCTCGGACGACAACGCACACACAAACACACACACATAACCCTCCTCAGGACAACAATGTACACACACACATTACCCTTCTCCACGGAGGTCCGTAAACAAAGCGGCATGTGTCACGTTTTTAACATGGCTTTACACGCGATATGAGAATATAGCCAGTTAACCTGAGACGGTACACGCGGTTACAAGTAACAAAACACAACTAAATACATTTGCAAGCTAGAGTAAACAAGGCAACAACTTAAATCACACATACTAATGCTGAGTTCACACCAGACGCGGCACGCCCATCAAGCGCGAGTGATTTACATGTTAAGTCAATGCAAACGCGCGAATAGACATCCTGCGGTGCTATAGGCACGAATGACGCAAATTGCGCGAATGGCACGGGGCGAATTGAGCGTTTTGCGCGTTTGAAGCGCCTAACGAGCGTTTCCCCGAATCTCTCATTTTCGAAAATCTGAACTTCAGCGTACATTCGCGCCGCGTTAACCAATCAGAAGCTTGCTCTTGTGGGGGCGTGATTGTGACGTAGAACCTGTTGTCGGTGTTCCGAGGGAAATCCTCCAGCCTTCACCGACAACAGTTCATCAAACTGGGCTTGGCTCAGTCAGAAGCACCGCTGAAAGCCTCCGTCATCCAGGTTCAGTTTCTGGAGGAGTTTATGAGCTCACAGAGCTGGATGCACCTCTGAAAGCATGTAGTAAACTTAGACACGACCCTAAACGTATCAACGCTGTTTTTCAGTCTTCATAAAGCACATAAACACTGTTATTTTCTTCATAAAATCCATGTTAGCCATTTAGCTATAGGCCCTGCCCATCACACGAATCCACGTCTGTTCTGAAGTGAATTTGACACGCGAATGAAGCTGGGTTTGACGCGCGAATGAAGCAAGTAAACTCAAATGTTCACGCGGCTATTTACGCGCGAATAGAGCGATTTATCCGCGCGTTCCGCGTCTGGTCTGAACACAGCATTACACTTGAGAAATGGAGGAAGAAACCGATCCATGTCCTGACATGTCCATCAGCACTCTTTACTGATCCTTCCTTTATCAAACTGCCGATGAAGAATTCTTTGTAGCTTGTAGTTTCCAGAAGCATTTAAACTGCTCAGGGCTGGGCTATAATGCTGAGGTTTCATGTTTGGGTAGAGACCCAATAAATATCCATCAGCACTTTGCGACTTCATTTGACCGGCGTGTGTGTGTGTGTGTGTGTGCGTGCGTGCGTGCGTGTGTGTGTGTGTGTGGCTTTTTCTGTATTAGAGGGCTGGGCCGCAGGTTTCGAATCTCCCGGGTTTGTGCGTGCACGTGAATAAGTGGACTCTTTAACAGGACTCTTTGCTGGGACAGCAGGCTTATAATCAATCATCAGCTAAGTGTGAACTCTTGAAATGGTATTGAACACTGTTTATCTGTTTTCACACTAGACCCGGTTGTGCTGAAGGAGGAGACTGAAGAGATCGTTAATCTTGATCAGCAGGAAAACCTGAAAGTTTACCGGTGGATTCACACTGGAGAGAAACCTCACACTTGCTCTCACTGTGGAAAGATTTTTGTTCATAAAAGGTCTCTTGATGCCCACATGGAAACTCACACTAGAGTGAAGCGTTTTACCTGCCATACATGTGGAGTAAGGTTCAGTCAACGAGGACACTTCACATCCCACATGTTGACTCACTCCGGAGAGAAACCTTTCGCCTGCCTTCAGTGTGGAAGGAGTTTTGCTGAAAATAAAAACCTGAGAGCCCACATGAGGATTCACACCGGAGAGAGACCATTTACCTGCCATACGTGTGGAAAGAGTTTCACTCAACAGGGACACTTTGCATCCCACATGTTGACCCACTCCGGACAGAAACCTTTCGCCTGCCTTCAGTGTGGAAAGAGTTTCAGTGAAAAAAAAAACTTGAAAGCCCACATGAGGATTCACACCGGAGAGAAGCCTTTTACCTGTCATACGTGTGGAAAGAGGTTTACTCAACAAGGACACTTCACATCCCACATGAGGACTCACTCCGGAGAGAAACCTTTCGTCTGCCATCAGTGTGGAAGGAGTTTCGTGAGCAAGGAGAACATGAAGGTGCACATGAGGATTCACACCGGAGAGAAGCCTTTCAGCTGTCAACACTGTGGAAGGCGTTTCACTCAGAAAGCAGCTCTTGAAGGCCACCTGACCATTCACAGCAGAAAGATGCTCTACACCTGCCAAATATGTAGAGTGAACTACAAAACTAAACATGGCTTTAGATGTCACATGGACATTCACACCGGTAAGAAGTTGTTTGCGTCCTGTTCACGCCTCGTATTGAGATCAAATTCACATTTTATTTGTCACATACAGAGTGAAATGTGTACACAGCTACTTGTGACCTTATAAAACCTTAAAAATAATAACATTTACACTTAGTCATTTAACAGATGCTTTTGTCCAAAGTGACTTACAATTGAGGAGGTATTCAGGGATTCAACAAGAAAAGGCAACACACACTAGAAGGGCTAGTTATACCGGAGGGTCAACTGTTCTCTGTATCGTTTAAGGGTAGCAGGGGGGAACGCGCGCGACGTACCTGAAGAGCTAGTAGGAGAGTGCAGGAAGTTTCGGTAGTCTCCTGCAAATGCACAGACACTCCCGTATGCCCGCAAACGAGTGAGAATCTCCCGGAAATCGCGCGTCTCCCTCCCGGTCCTCAAATACGCAGCCCACCCTTCTCACCCCTCCCCACCGCACCCCTCCTTGCTCTTCAGACACTCCGTGCACACCTTGTCAAACCACCACCCCCAACAGCTGAGTGAGACTCTGCAAAATAAACCGTGAAACTCTGACCAATGTGAGGAGAGTTTACTCACACGTGACTTGTTTTAGCTCTTTTGGTCCGGTTAGGGTGCTTTCACACCTACACTTTTGTTTCGGAACGCATCTCGTTTGCCCAGTTAGCGCGGTTCGTTTGGCATATGTGAACAGGGCAATCGCGTTCTGTTCCGCGCCAAAGTAATCGCTCCGAGATGGCTTGAATGAGGTGGTCTCGGCTCGATTGAAACGAACCCTGGAGCGGTTCAGTTGCAGTGAGAAAGCGATCCGATCCGAGCGCGGTTATATCACAGTGTTTATGGATATGTAATAGGCTTACGGCTATATGAAGAGAGAATTATGAGTAGGGCGGGAAGTTTCGCGAGTCTCCGGATGCCCGCAAACGAGTGATGATCTCCCGGTAATCTCGCGTCTCCCTCCCGGTCCTCAAATAGGCATCATCGTGCACCCTTCTCACCCCTCCCCACCGCATCTCTCCTCAGACACGTCGCGCGCGCACCCTGTCAATCACCACCAAACCAGCACCTCTCCTGACAGCTGAGCGGGACGCTGCAAAATAAACCCTGACACTCTGACCAATGTGAGGAGAGTTTACTCACACATGACTTGTTTTAGCTCTTTTGGTCCGATTAGAAACTTTGCCGTGTGAAAGCGAACCACTCCAAGAGCAAAGAGCAACAATGTAACATGTAATCCCTGTTTCGGAACAACTGAATCAATTGACAGGTGTGAAAGCACCCTAAAAGAAAACCACAATGTTTAACTGTCTTTTCTTCTTTCTAGATCTGATTGCGCTGAAGGAAGAGTTTGGAGAAAACAAGAAGCCTTACACGTGCTCTCATTGCGGAAAGAGTTTTCATTATAAAGCTTCTGTTAAACGCCATGAAGTGATTCACACTGGAGAGAAGCCTTACGTCTGTCCACAGTGTGGAAAAGGTTTCACGCAAAAATTTGTGCTTAAAATCCACCAGAGTGTCCACACTGGAGTAAAGCCCTACTCGTGCACGGAGTGTGGGAAAGGTTTTACAAGTACAAGCGCTCTGAATTGCCACATGAGCGTCCACACTGGAGAGAAGCCGTACGCTTGCCCTCAATGTGGGAAGAGATTTTCACAAAAAAGATCTCTGTTTAACCACATATCGGTTCATATCGGAGAGAAGCCTCACACCTGTAAAACAAGTAGAGCGAGCCTGTCAACAAAACAAAATCTTAGACGTCACTTGATCATTCACACCAATGAGAGGCCGTTTGCTTGTTCTCACTGTGAAAAGAGCTTCAGACACAACAGGTCTCTTACTAGGCACAAGAAGGTTCACTTAGAAATGAAGGATTAAATACTAAGTGAGAATCTACAAGAGAGAGAAACCAATCACCTGCAAACGAAAAGAGCTTCACAAACGTTATCTATAACCTGAACAATCACACTGGTGAGAGGACATTTATTCCCAATCCTTCCCCTTCTCCAGTTTTTGCATGCTCAGTTGAAGAGTTCAGAGTGTCCAGATTCTCTTCATCTTGAAGAAGTAATGCCCAATTCACACAGGGCTTTAGTGTCAATGCTTGACAGAGGGCGTGTCTGAAGTTGGGGCTGACACGATCATCTTAGCAGCATCAGCCAATGAAATTAGTCCGCAATCTGCTACTGTCTGAGCTGGTGTATTTGCATACAGCAATCTGATTGGCTGACGCTTCCATCAGCGCTTAAAGTTGAGAAAGTCCCAACTTCTGCAGATGGATCTGCAGACGGATCCACAATGGATGCAACGCCTGACGTCACCCATTCAAAGTGAATGGGACGGATTGACGCCCCCTGTAAATGAGGCGTAAAGCTAAGTGGAAGCACTAGTTAGCCCTTGAAACTAAGATTTTCCAGGACCTCACTCGAAACCAAGGAATACGAAAATTTCCCAGAATACAGCAACCGCAACATGGCTGCACGCGCCAATGAGGAGATAGTAGTATTTTACGGCAATATTATAAAACAAGCATGTTTTTGGTACGTTTGTAATAATACCCATATTCTGAGATGTTCACTATATAGACCATTTTCACATTTGTGTGTCTCTGCAGCAGAAGTCAGCATAGTTGGTAGATTTAGAGAGCAGTTAACGCGAGAGTAGAACAGCTTTTTTTGCATTCCCATTTGCTCAAATAAAAAAAGAAAAGCTCAATGACGGTGTTATCAAGACTTTCAGCTGAAGGGAAACATTGTGTGAGACTGACTACAGCAGCCAGAAGAGAACAACTGAAAGACAGCTAGTCTATCCGAAAAGTAGCTGAGAAGTAAGCTAACGTTGACCCTCTTGTGATAAGCCATTCTAGTAATCATGGTGATATTCTGTTATTTTCATTGCACTGTTTTTTTTTTAATGGAGACAAATGCAAAAATTAAAAACCAAAAAACAACAACAGTGTTTACATGCGTTAAGTGATTAAAATTTCCTCTTGTGAAGAGTCATTCCAAAAATTATGGCGGTCAATTTTTTCTTTTTTTACTAGTATCATTCAATGGATTATTTTCATCAGAGGTGAATGCAAACCTAAAAAAAGATTTCCATCCAATCCAATTCCATCTTATGACACAGCAGGGGCCTGTTTCAGAAAGGAGGTTAACTGAAAACTCAGAGTATTTTAACCCTGAAATGAGAGAAACTCTGGGTTTTCCGTTTCAAAATGGCAGGTTTGTTAAACTGGAGAAAGCAGGGTAAGTCAAGCCTGTTTCTGAAAGAGAGTTAACTTTAACTCAGAGTCAGTTACTGTGGTAACTTACTCTGTGAATCTAACCTGGTCAGAAGCAGGTTTTATTCTCTAAACTCTGAGTTTCTGTCTGTCTCCTCCCCTTTTTTAAAGATGAAGCGGTATTTCTCGCCTTAGTCTTACGTTTCCACCCACGTATTTTAATGCTCATTTTGGATATGTGCATAAAAACGATTGATAGAAATGTCATGATGCACATAACTTTTTAAAATATGCATAAAAACATGCATAACTGAGTAGGATAAAATTTTATTCGATAGAAAATGTGTGCATAAACTACGATGGAAACACTTTTACTGAACAAATTGCAGTATGTACATTAAAAAAAAGATTATGATCATATGATAATGAAAATGTGTGTAAATGGACAAACCAGCAGGCTGGGCACACTGTAACATGTCTTAAATATTGTTTTAGTCATTCTAAAATGCCTTAACTGTTTCAGTATTAGTGTATATTATTAATTACCTCAGAGTGTCTGGAGCGTGTCAAGAGTCTCCGCGTCTCATGGCTTCAGACGCCCCCACGTGTTCATTGTGTTTCAGCATTGTCTTCTGACATCGAGGCGCAAGTACATTAATTAGGCTAAATAAAGAATTAATTGACGCAGCTTCTTCTACCACAGTAAATTCTGTTTTTACTGTTGATATTTGGTGCCAGTTTAATCAGGAAGTGACGATTTTTTTTCTCTTTGACTCGTTGGATGGAATTTTATTCGCATCTTTTATGCAATATTCCAGTTTTGCACATAAATTTATGTAATATATTTGGATGGAAACATAGCTATTGCCTACATTTTAGTCACACACAGAAGAACTGTACTAGATGGCTTATCCTTTTTTAATAAATAATTAAATTTACCTTCGACATGCACTGTAACTAGATTAATGGGATTATTATTCTTTCTAAAAATTATTTTTAGTACTGCTTACCTTCTAAATGTTATATTAACCTCTATCACTTGATCAATAAAAAAGGCAGACACACAAGTGCACTGTTAAATCATTTAAAACTAATAAATGTATAAAAAAGTTTAGAAAAAAATATATAAACGTCAGAAATTACATTACTTATTTTATTATACTTAAATATTTAAATACTTAAAAAGTGAAATTAGGCATTAACTTGAGCAGCTGTTTTCCCACGCTAACTGTCTCTTCTTCACTGATGGTTGCTTCTTTTCAAATATATACACTCATATTTGCTATAACTTTGCATGAGAACATCAAGTTCAGCTGGAATACGAAATGGTGATCTCTTTTATAAGATATTGCCATAGTCACTCGTAATGTCTGCGCTCCATTGATAATGCCTTTTTAAAGTCACGGTGCGTGCGCTTAACTCTGAGTTGGTCTACTCATAGTTGATTGACCCAACTCAGATCAGCTGTTCTGAAACCGAAAACTCTGAGTTTTTAATCTCTCGGTAAATCAACTCAGAGTTCAAGTTTAAACTCTGAGTTGTTTGAACCTCCTTACTGAAACAGGCCCCAGGTGTGTTGAGGCAAGTTGGAGCTAAACCCTGCAGGGCACCGGAACTCCTGGAACAAGATTGATGACCCTTGCTCTAGATGTTGTACACTCGCACATGGAAATTTTCCTAGTCTCTCTCTGTGCTTTAACCATTCAGGTTAAACATCCGTATGTATGACAGTGTATGACGTAATGTGAGAGTATAGTTGTTGTTGATTTGTGATTGTAAGCAGAGCGGCCAGGAACTCATTGCGAGTGTTAACGCTGAAGAAACTGCAGATGATCGTCAGTAAACTTTCTTTTGACTGAATCTCTGTCTCCGGCTCTTCTTCATCTGACTGATGCTCATTTTTGGGTAAAACTGTTCAATACCGCTACAGACTGATTTACTGCAATTTCCGATAAAGTCCCACTAAACAGAAACGTTTCTTGTTACTTTTACCTAATAGTAGTATTATTTACTAAAATTTGCGTTATTTTAGCAGTGAAATAGTATTTTTACTTGAGTACAAAAAAAGATTTCACAAGCATTTAGTGCAGGTTTATTATATTATTAATATATGATTAATACATATTATTATTAATGGTTTTTATTTGTATCTATTCCTATATAATGTTTTATGGGTTGCTGACAATACATTTCAGGTCTTCAATACATAGCATGTCAGTCTTGAAGAAAAACATAGGTGCTGGAATTGATTTCCATTAGGCTGAGCCTGTATGAACCCTGTCATATGTACATTTAACATCAATATATTTCAAGATTTGTCTGAAAGTGTATGAATATGACATATAGCCTATATTTATGAGGTCCAAGCAACATTTCCAGCTTTTGATGAATAGGCTACTATGAATACTTTAGATTTAAGTACAGCAGTTTTCTTTTTACTTTTTAAGAACAGCGCCATTTTTTAAATTAACTTTTAAAAGCACATTTTAACTAAAACGTTTTTTTTTTTTTTACCTGCAAGCACAGTTGATGTTCAGACTATTTAAAATGTTTAAAGTGACTGACAATAATACATATTCTTACTAATAGGAATTAATCTGCTTCGTTTTTAAACTGTGCACACCTGTAGCTGTTTAATTAGGCCTACGATGCTATTTTTTAATACTGGTTAAAAATTAGCGTCGTAAGGTGGTACTTGGAGAGACCATTTTTTTTTTCTAAGGTGGTACTTGGTGAAAAAAGTTTGAGAACCACTGCTCTAAACTATACACGAACCCTGTCAACTGGTATATCATTCATTTTATTTTCGGCTTAGTCCCTTTATTAATCTGGGGTCAACACAGTGGAATTAGCAGCCAACTTATCCAGCATATGTTTTACGCAGCGGATGCCCCTCCAGCTGCAACCCATCACTGGGAAACATCCATACACACTAGTGCTAGTGACTCTTAAATAATACAGTAGTGACTACAGGTTGAAGGAAAGTAGTGGAGTAAATGTACCAATACTGCACTAAACATGTACTCTCAAGAGAGAGTAAAAGTACACATCTTTAAAACTACCTTGTAAATTACAATTCCTGAGACAAACTACTCAATTACAGTAGTCTGAGTATTTGTAATGTGTTACTGTACACCACTGATCAAACATTCCTGCAATCTCTCAGTTTGTAGGTTAAGTCTGCCCTCGGTCACTGAAACAAAAAGAATTTGACAGTTTAAAATGTATTGAAATAACATCACATTATGGTAACATTACATTTATATAAGAACATTATAACATCAGTAAAAGCTTACAAATATAATAAAGTGAAATAATAAACAATTGTGTTTGCGTTTTGCTGCTGATTAAACCAAACACAGAAACAGAGAGTATAAAAATGCATCACTTTCCAACTTGCATGCAAAAAAAACAAACAAAAAGGTCATGTCCACACTACTGTGTTTCAGTTTAAATGTGCATATTTTACTCTCCGTTTTGGCTTTACATGCACACTGAGTGTTTTAGGTAGCAAAAGCATATCTTTTTTTAAACCCCGTCCAAAGTGGATCAATCTGAAATGTTGTTGCGTTGTGAAAATGGAGGCTTTCGAAACGATGATGCATTTTAGTCATGTGACGCAGTTTCAGTAAAAGCAAATGCTTTTTATTTTGTTCTATTTCACAAACCAGCTCGATTTCACAAGCAAACTTAAATATTTAACGTTAGTCGTCAGAAAAGTGTCAATTCGTACAAATTCATATGATTTCATTCTTATGAAAATGTACATTTTTTTAAAAGGGGTCAATTGGGGACGAGCAAATCATACTAACACCAGTGCGACAATACAAATTAGCCACAAAACAAAAGTTACGAAAAAAATACAAAAGTATTGTCATTTAATTAAACATATAATTAAACATTTAAACATTCAATTTAATTCCAAAATGCATGCTAAATTCATTTAAAGAGAATTGTATTCATGACTGAAGTGTAATACATTGAACAAAAGTAAAGCCAATAATGCAAAACTATTTCTGTTGTTTCATTGCGCTGTCAAAACTGACTGTCAGAGGATTGTGGTTGAGGATATCATGTTCAAGCCCAAGCTGAAAAACTCCAACTATCTCAGTGGTTCAGCATTAATATTGTATTATTAATATTATTATGGCGACGCAGTGGCGCAGTAGGTAGTGCTGTCGCCCTTACAGCAACCAAACTCACTACTATAAACAAAGATACAGAGAGCTGGAGCGTTTCGAAGTCACCTCGATCAGCTGGTTTGTCTATAAGCTGACATACAAGTGATCCACTGATGAATCACGGCTCTAAAATGCTCCAGCTGTCTCTATCTGTGTTTACACTCAGTGAACTGTGGTGAGTTCGGTCAACTGATGACCTTCACGGCCAATCACAGTCATTTCTGTTGAGTGTGTGAGCACAATGGCAAATCAGCAGTGTTTAAGAATGCACTTAAATGTTAGCGGGAAATGGACGTTTTTAAAGTTTCACTATCGATTGGTACCGAATTCCAGTATAGTGACAACCCTAATTTACACCTTGACCCAGAAAGCGCTGACGTTAAAAAGAATAGAGGCGACAAGTGAAAAACACCAAGCACACTAGCCTGACCAACAAAATCCAACGACCACTGGGTGTTCTGACGATCTGTGCTACCTCCTCAGAATGTACGACCTGGTAGCTCAATCTGTCATGTCTACCAAAACAGGGTTAGCACATATTGTCAGCTTCAAATATCTATCGAAATTAACTACAACTCTTATGATCACAGGATCGGCTCGTCCAAAGAGGCGACCTAGGCGACTGCCTAGGGCAGCAGAATAGAGACCGGCGTCCGCGACACTTCCCTCAGCACTCGCATCGTCCTTAGTTATGTCTGTGATACCTCCCTCAGCCCCTGCCGCCTCAGTTATATCCGCGCCTACGGCGGCAGAATAGAAAGGACGGCGTCCGTGACACCTCCCTGAACACCAGCGCCCTCAGTCATGTCCGCGACACCACCCTCAGCCCCTGCCGCCTCAGTTATGTCCGCGCCTAGGGCGGCAGAATAGAAAGGACGGCGTCCGCAACACCTCCCTCAACACCAGCGCCCTCAGTTATGTCCACGACACCTCCCTCAGCCCCTGCCGCCTCAGTTATGTCCGTGCCTAGGGCGGCAGAATAGAAAGGACGGCGTCCGCAACACCTCCCTCAACACCTGCGCCCTCAGTTATGTCCGTGACACCTCCCTCAGCCCCTGCCGCCTCAGTTATATCCGCGCCTAGGGCGGAAGAATAGAAAGGACGGCGTCCGCAACACCTCCCTCAACACCTGCGCCCTCAGTTATGTCCGCGACACCTCCCTCAACACCTGCGCCCTCAGTTATGTCTGCGACCCAGCACCTCATACACCCGAACCCCCCCCCCCTCACACACACCCCCTCTCTACAATTTGAGGGCGGCGTGATCGTCCTTTGCCAAGAGCGGCAGTTCAGCTCCGGCTCTGATTGAAGAAGGTAGAAAAAGGCGTAGCAGCTTCAAAAGTTTATCAGAGTGAACCACTGCCTTGATTTTTATTTTATTTCGCTAGTTTTATATTTACTTTGTTTATTTGAGTGGTAGTTCATTCTGATAGACATCCAAAGCTGACAAGATGTGCTTACCCTGTTTTCCTAGATGAAAGATGACAGATTAAGCTATCGAAGCACATTCTGATGAGGTAGCACAGATCGTCAGAACCAGCCTTAAGCAAGAAAAGCATTTTTTACAGCGTGCAAATGTTCATGTGATGCCTAAAGTTAATTTCTGAGGCTCTTTCCAAACAGTTCGCCACTCTACACGACTTCTGTAAGCTCTCATCCTGGTTTTATTGCGGAGACGAGTGAGTCTTATTGTGCCTAGTTAGTGATCCACTGTGCCTGAAGCTCTTTCCACACTGAAGGCAGGAGAACGGCTTCTTATCAGTGTGAACGTTCATGTGACACTCCAGGTTTCGCTTGGTGGTGACGCTCACTCCACACAGACTGCAAATGTAAAGGTTTTCTCCGGTGTGAACCTTCAGGTGCCTGTTAAGGTCTCCTTGGTTAATGAAACTCTTCTCGCACTGGGAGCAGGAGTACGGCTTCTCCTCCATGTGAAGCGCTTGATGGGAATAAAGCGATCTTTTATAAGGAAAACTCTTCCCGCATTGAGTGCAGGAGTACGGCTTCTCCCCGGTGTGGACGTTCATGTGGGCTTTAAGGCTCGCGTTTTCAGTGAAACTCTTTCCACACTGCTGACAGCTGAAGGGTTTCTCTCCGGTGTGAAACCTCATGTGGACTTTAAGATGGCCGTTTGTGCTAAAACTCTTCCCACACTGCTGGCAGGCGAAAGGTTTCTCTCCGGTGTGAATCCTCATGTGGTACACGAAGTGTCCGTGCTGAGAGAAACTCTTCCCGCACTCCTTACAGGTGAAGGGCTTTTCTCCGGCGTGGGTCTTCATGTGGGTTTTGAGGTTTCCCTCAGTAATGAAGCTCTTCCCACACTGCTGGCAGGTGAAAGGCTTCTCTCCTGTGTGAGTTTTTACGTGGTACATGAAGTTTCCTTGCTGACTGAAACACTTCCCACAGTCCTGACAGGTGAAGAGCTTCTCTCCGGTGTGAATCCTACTGTGGAGATAAAGGGAGAGTTTACTCGTGAAACTGCTTCCGCATTCGCTGCATATGTGAGGCTTCTCTTTCTCTTCACTGGTGCTCTCTTCTGCCTCTTCCTTAGGCACAATCAAATCTGTGGTAAAGAGACAATTCAACACTTGTTGAAGGCAACTGGGAAACAGAAAACAAAGTCCTTAATCTGACATTTCTGTCTGAAGTAGGAGAGCCAAACTCATGACATTTAGAAATAGGTTAATGTTATCATGTTGACAGCTTATAATAACACTTATTATATTATAAGATGTATTTTATTGGTGATAATAACCCTTTTTTAAAGGGTCACGAAACACCACACTGTGGTCCCACACTGCTAAAAACACTATCAGGACACCTATATTTCACTAAAAAGTGTAAATTGGTTGTTTTTGCGTTATTTCGAGTAAATTCGTACTTCCGGTTTGAAACTAATTTTTGAAGCTGCGTCACGGTCATGAGATAATAGCGTGTATTCCAGCGTGCAGACTGGACGTCTGTGCCAGAGTGAGTCTTATTACGTCTTACAGTGTGCTGCATTAATGCATGAGTAAGGCTTGGTTCAAACCAATCAGCGCGCTCTATTGTGCAACTTCATTAATATTCATTAGTCACAGTGTTTAGACGACAGAGACGCCACGTTGTGTTGGCGAAACAAGCGTGAAGTGTTGCTTTTATAGTTTGCTGCAGTGAAGTTTTGTTTTCATTTTCTCTCTGTGAGAGCGCAGCTGGACTCACGTGTGGATTAACAGTGTACGCGACGCTCGACAACAATAACTTACGTGTCTAAGGAGGATTATTGTTTACCTGAGAGCTGTTCTCATCTGCAAACGCTGAGATCCGGATTCGCTTGTAGTCTCCTCTTAATAAAGACGCGGCTCTAGTTGCTGGTGATTGTCCTGTCTCTACAGATTTGGTAAGTGAGCGACCAGTGCTCTTTGTTTATTCAGTTCGTATTTTATTTGTATCAAACAAACTATTGCACCGAGTTTAAACAAGTTAGCACTAACAGTTACAACCAAACTATAACCTCGTGTTGGATTTTGTGACCGGAATAACACACGCGGCTTTCTGACGCTACCTGCCGTGTGCATCTAAGTTTCCAGGAAATGCGGAGGGTTTTTTTCTCTCATTCGCCGTGCGGCATCAAACATTGCATGAAAAATACACGCTTAGAGCAGCTCCTCGAATCAAATATCTCGTTTGTCGCGAGGGAAATGAATGAATTCCCTGAATGAAAGAGCCAAACTGCAGTTAAAGTCCACCATTTAAAAATTTGGCAAATAATTCGACTACAGATGTCCATGTAAACACAGTCACAGTGTCCACTGTGGTTGTGTGTTTTGACTCTGAAACTCAGCGCGCCCAAATAGACACTCCCACACCCTCCCACTTTTCTTCCTCCAACACTCCCCCCTAAACAGAGCTGGACACGCCCACTTTTCTGACATTTTCCAAAGTAGAGGTGTGAAAACACCCTGCTGAAACGAGGGGGTTTCATGGCCCTTTAATGTGTAAAATGACAGATTTTTTAGCAAATAACATCCAAAAGATCAAGATTCATCTGATGACTTCATGTAGTCTCCGTCAAACATCAGCATTCTGCTCTGAGCTAGTTTGCATCTGTTTTTGTAGTTGTGTTGTGATAATTTACAGCATGTGTGTGTGTGTGTGTGTGTGTGTTATCAAATGGATGAGGTTTTCTTAATCTGGTGGTGTTTTTACACCTGTATGTGTTTTCATTGTTTGCAGACCAAATTAGGTAATGGAAGTGAATAGTTTCACTGTTTTATATTTAATGATTAAAGTCTGGTTGAAGTTTTACAAAATTTTAGGTTTATTTAGTCCATGCCTGAATTATCAATTCCCTCTTTCTGTAGAGCTAGACTGAAATGAGTGAGTGGAGCTTTACAGAAGAAAACCAACCTGTTTGTTGCTCAGCATCTTCATGTTTGACTGTGAATGTTTCTTCAATCTTGATATCTTCAGTCTCCTCTTTAATAAACGCCATCTTTATAACAGTCTGAGCTCAGTCGCTTCAGCAGGAGTTTCTCTGGGTTTGGACACTAGACCATATTCAACAAAAAAGTAAAGATAAATTTAATACGAATTAACCGATATTTACTATTTTTGAAAAAAAAAAATATATATATATATATATATATATATATATATATATATATATGAGTAATATCACAAGAGTAGCAGTGCGATATGGCTGTATATCGGCACTGGTGGGAGGTGTGCGTGCCTTAGTGCCCTCACCAGTGCTGATATACAGCCATATCGCACTGCTACGAGTGTGATATTGCGTTTATACAACAGTTTGACGGCATAATTGTGTAAATAAAAACTAAATCAAACATGGAGAGTCTCAAAAACCCTTTTGTATGAGGAACTACTTTCTTCCGGATTCAAATCACAAGCTGGCAGTTAAACAGCTGAGCAAGCATCTTTTAAACTGTAGATCTGTAGTGTCTGCTTGTTGCTGGCTGTATGTGGGCGGAGTAATACACAAAAGGTAAAGAGGCTGTACGGGTGCTGATATTGCTTAAATATATCTCGGCTTTCAGCCAATCAGATTCGAGAACCAGACAAAACTGTTGTATAAATAAATAAATATATATAAATATATATATATATATATATATATATATATATATATATATATATATATATATATATATATATATATATATATATGAGCAATTCCAGCATTATGGATGTGACATTTGCAGTAAAAACTCAAAACCTAAATTCCCGTAGAAAGTATATAAATTACCATTTTATTAAAACATCTGTTTATATTTTCCAGAACTGACCACAGAGTTATAGGAGCAGAGAAATATCAATCTGTAAACATGTTTTGTACTTTAAATGAGGAAAATAATCATGCATTATGGATGTGACAAAAAAGTCTGTGAGTTTACAGTATCTAACATACTTTGTAGAAATTCTGTGAGTTAAACTGCACAAACCCCAAAAAATAATGCTATTTAAAAGGATAAGAGTTGCTCACTATAGAACATAAATTATTGATTTTATTTAATTGAATACTTTTGTATTAATGAGGAAAAAGTGCCGTATTGAAGTGACAGATGTGAAATTGCTTGTTTGACTTTGGTACATTAAACACAATAGTTTGAAATCATTGATAGATATATTTTTGAGTATTTCTGAAGTACTGTAAAACATTTGCACACAAAAAACTTTAAAACGATTACGTATTTTGGTGAAACCTCAATTTTTTCATAGCAAGGTTGACATTTGCACGGAATTGCTCATATCCATGCAAATGTCAACCTTGCCATGAAAATTTTTTTACTGTTTCTGGGTTTTTTCGGTAAGCTTTTCGGTAAGAAATACTCAAAAATGCATCTGTCAGTGTTTTCAAACTTTGTATTTGATTTACCAAAGTCAAACAATTGGCAATTTTACATTCTTTTTTGTTTTATAGAGAGTCGACTCTTATCCTTTTGATTATCATTTTTTTTTGATTATCATCACTTTTGGGTTTGTGCAGTTTAATTCACAGAATTTCAACAAAGTATGTTGTGTATTGTAAACTCACAGACTTTTTTTTGTCACATCCATAACGCATGCTTATTTTCCTGATTTAAAGGACAAAACATGTTTACAGATTGATATTTTTCTGCTCCTATAACTAGCTCCTATTGTTCTGGAAAATATATAATGTTAACAAACACACACACACACACACACACACACACACACACAGTGTGGGACATTTATATGGATACACCTTAATAAAATGGGAATGGTTGTTGATATAAACGTCCTGTTTGTGGCAGATTAGTATTTAAGAGGGGGCTTGTGAATAACTCATGAAAGAACCAAACACATAATTGTTTTTCTTGTGAAATGTCCAAGGTTTAATCTTATAAAGGTGTATCCATATAAATGGCCCATCCCGTGTGTGTTTATATATATATATATATATATATATATATATATATAACAATGTTTCTGAAAGAGCTGGGTGCGTCTCAATCTACTTCCTAGTTCAATAGTGAGGAAGCCAGCTTGAGTTTGAATAGCTTTAAATCGCCTGGTTACAAAACAACAATAACGAACTCTAAACGAACTGTACGCTTTAGTGAAAGATCACCTGTCCTTCATCTACTCTATTTTTACCTGAACGTGAAGTCAGCGAGCGACCGAGTCAACCCGTGGAGCATTTTAGTTGCCAGGTGAATTTGACTCGGACCAAACTTGTGTTTATAATAAACTAATTCGCAACCATGGACGCGAAATGACAAACGTTTTGTGTTTTTCATATACATATGCACTTTACTTATAAAACAAGGAGATAAACATTAGACACAGTCTCCCTAAACGGTTAAAAAACACAAACCTTTCTTCAGACCAGCCGAGTGGCAGTTGCAGGAGCGCGGCGCACTTGTGACGTCATAGCTCTGAACCAAGATAAAAGTCCCGGTCAAAAATCACAAAACAACAGAAAAGTCCCGATAATGCACTTGTTTAATCAAAAGTGTGGAGTGCTGGACACTTAAATTAATGACAAAATAACCGTGTAAATCATACATCACATCAGTGTTTTAAAACAAAACAGTATGTTAACAGAGTGCAGCAGGCCTACCAAGATGGCTTTTTGGCGATCTTTTCTTTACTTGTTACTATTCTGACACCTGCAAAAGATGGAGCCGGTGGCCTGGACCACTATTCACTGTCTATCTGTGCCACCTGCGTAATAGTGTTACCAATGACTAAATGAAACACCTCAATACAGCACACTGATCCCAAACCGCAACAAACAAGGCATTTTTACCCTCAAAATTAAATAAAAAAATACCCAAATCAGTTAACACTGCCTCTGATATTTAGTCAATCTCAGTTTTAGCACATGACAGTTACTTAATTACCTACTTTCTCCCCTGCACTCATTGAATGCAAGTGTGGAGGGCCACGGGGCTCAGCATTACCTCCTCTGCTTTTCTCCTTGTACATGCTTTCCCAGAGAGACATAGTCGTTAGATTACACCATTTTACCAATCTGACTTTTAGACAGGGTCTTTAATTTATTTACAAACAATTTAAATTTGTTAAACACTAGCCTAGAGTGCCATCTGCTGTAAACACTGGCCCAGGGATGTCCAAACTCAGTCCTGGAGGGCCGGTGTCCTGCAGATTTCAGCTCCAACTTACCTCAACACACCTACATGGATGTTTCTAGAAAGCCTAGTAAAGGTGCTTTCACACTTGCTGAGTTTGTGTGTGCGAAACTCTGTCGTGTGGCGCTGCGAAAAGGGGCAGGATTTAATAAGCTTATTAGGCATTTAAAAAAGCGAGCGATTGCTCTATGTATTACATTTCTGTCCAGAGAGGTCATGTTTTGACCCTCAATTGGTCTCACGCAGTCAAGTGGTGCGATTTCGCATGGTCAGATTTCACCAAGCTTGAACTTTGTACTGCAGCAACCTGCGAAGTTTGACGCATGACCCTTTGTTTCCTGTCTGACGCATTTGCGTGCAAATGAATGGAAGTCTATGGGAGGAAAAGCCCAGTGTGACCGCAGCTTTAGAGCTTGATTATCTGGCCCATGCGTGTCTGATTGGGGTTGGAACTAAACTTTGCAGGACACCGGTCCTCCAGGACAGAGTTTGGACACTCCTGCACTAGCCTGAAGTGCCGTCTGCTGTTAAACGCTAGCCTAGAGCGCCATCTGCTGTTAAAGGGCCATGAAACCCCCTCGTTTCAGCAGGGTGTTTTCACACCTCTACTTTGGAAAAAGTCAGAAAAGTGGGCGTGTCCAGCTCTGTTTAGGGGGGAGTGTTGGAGGAAGAAAAGTGGGATGGTGTGGGAGTGTCTATTTGGGCACGCACGAGTTTCAGTCAAAATACACACACACACATTCAGGAGAAAGTGATGGTGTTTAACCTACATGGACATCTGTAGTCAAATTATTTGCCAAATTATTAAATGGTGGACTTTAACTGCAGTTTGGCTCTTTCATTCAGGGAATTCATTCATGCCCCTCGCGACAAACGAGATATTTGATTCGAGGAGCTGCTCTAAGCGTGTATTTTTCATGCAATGTTTGATACCGCACGGCGAATGAGAGAAAAAAAAACCCTCCGCATTTCCCAGAAACTTACATGCACACGGCAGGTAGCGTCAGAAAGCCGCGTGTGTTATTCCGGTCACAAAATGTGGTGAAAACCCTACACGAGGTTAAAGTTTGGTTGTGGTGCTAACATGTTTACACTCGGTGCAATAGTTTGTTAGATACGAACAAACTGAATAAACAAAGAGCACTGGTCGCTCACTTACCAAATCTGTAGAGACAGGACAATCAGCAGCAACTAGAGCCGCGTCTTTATTAAGAGGAGACTACAAGCGAATCCGGATCTCAGCGTTTGCAGATGAGAACAGCTCTCAGGTAAACAATAATCCTCCTTAGACACGTAAGTTATTGTTGTCGAGCGTCGCGTACACTGTTAATCCACACGTGACTCCAGCTGTGCTCTCACAGAGAGAAAATGAAAACAAAACTTCACTGCAGCAAACTATAAAAGCAACACTTCACGCTTGTTTTGCCAATACAACGTGGCGTCTCTGTCGTCTAAACACTGTGACAGTAATGAATATTAATGAAGTTGCACAATAGAGCGCGCTGATTGGTTTGAATCAAGCCTTACTCATGCATTAATGCAGCACACTGTAAGACGTAATAAGACACACTCTGGCACAGACGTCCAGTCTGCACGCTGGAATACACGCTATTATCTCATGACCGTGACGCAGCTTCAAAAATTCGTTTCAAACCGGAAGTACGAATTTACTTGAAATAACGCAAAAACAACCAATTTACACTTTTTAGTGAGATATAGGTGTCCTAATAGTGTTTATAGCAGGGTGGGACATAGATATCACTGTCAACAGCTCAACACATGTGTTCTGGTGTTTCGTGACCCTTTAAACTAGCCTAGAGCACCATCAGCTTTTACAAAATGGATTCAAGAGAGAATTTCAATGAATTCTGTCAATCTCAGTAACAATTTCTCAAGCAATTTGTAGACACAGCTTTATTTCTGGTGCACTTTTAAGCTTGCTAGGCCTGATGTCTCCTCAACATGACGTTGCACATCACCACTGAGGTTACTTGCTTCAGAGACGTGCAGAAGCGTCCCCACAGAACCATTATCAGAGATCACTTGCAAGTTTACATCTGAAACTCCTTCCAGACTAACCACACGAGAAGATTTCTCAGCCGTGTGAACGCTCATGTGACCTTTAAGCGTTTGTGTTGATCTGAACGTCTCTTCACATATTTTGCAGCTGTAAGGCTTCTCTCCGGTGTGAGTCCTCATGTGGGCTGTGAGGTTTCCTCGTTTATGGAAACCCTTTCCACACTCTTTGCAGACGAAAGGTCTCTCTCCGGTGTGAATCCTCATGTGGGTTGTAAGGTAGCTTTGATTGGCGAAACTCTTTCCACACTGACCGCAAGTAACCAGCTTCTCTCCGGTGTGAGTTCTCATGTGGGCTTTAAGGTTTGCCTTTATACTGAAACATCTTCCACACTCCTGGCACGATAGAAGCCTCTGTCCACTGTGAAATCTTGAATGGATTCGGAGCGAATGCTTATGAACGAAACTCTTTCCACACTGAGGGCAAGTGTGAGGCTTCTCTCCAGTGTGAATCCTTGTGTGGACATCGAGAGATTTTTTATCGTAAAAGCTCCTCCCGCACTGAGAGCAGCTGTAAGGCTTTGTTTCAAGGTGTATCCTCATGTGGATTTTGAGCTGTCCTTGAAGAGAGAAACTCTTTTCACACTGAGGGCAAGCAAAAAGCTTTTCTCCAGTGTGGATTCTCACGTGGGCATGAAGAGTGTTTTTACGAACAAAACTCTTTCCACAGTGAGGGCAGGTGTACGGCTTCTCTTCAGTGTGAGATCTCATGTGGATGTCAAGGTTTCCTTTTATACTGTATCCTTTTCCGCACTGACCGCAGGTGAAAAGCTTGTCTTTACTGTGATTTCTTGTGTGGATACTGAGAGAATTCTTATATAAAAAACCCTTTCCACACTGAGGGCAAGTGTACGGCCTCTCTCCGGTGTGAATTCCTATGTGGCCATTAAGAGAACGCTTTTGCACGAAAACTTTTCCACATTGAGTACAAGTGTAGGGCTTCTTTCTGGCGTAAATGCTTGTGTTGACTCGAAGGTCTGCTCTCTGATCGAATCTCATTCTGTCTTCTTTCGGCATTATCAGACCTAGGATGAAAAGAGACCAACATTAAAAGCGAGCGAAGAACCAAAAGCAGCCATTCATGTCTAAAGCAGGAGTGTCAAACTCAGCTTGTCGGAGTTCAGCTCCAACCTGCTTCAACTTAGCAATGTGTCTGGCAATGTCTGCAGTTTTTATTAAGTTGTTATTGGGGTTAGATATTTGTGTATATGTATCGGGGGCCAGATGGTGAGTGCGGTGCAGGTAAACATCACTCCTCTGACCTCTAAAGGTGCTCTAGCAACAGAGCCTAGAGGTCTTAAGCCTCCTCGGTAGAGCAACCGACTCCCTTGTGGAAGGTCGCCGGTTTGATACCAGCTCAGAGCAGGTTGGGTGGCGTAGGACCAGCGGGGTTACATTGGTGCCGTGACCCGGTTGGGAGTAAGGTTTAGGGGGGTGAGTGTAATGGAGGCCAGCTGGTGAGTGCTGTGCAGGTAAACCTCACTCCTCTGACCTCTAAAGATGCTTTAGCGACAGACGCTAGAGGTCATGGTCTTTAGCCTCCTTGTTAGAGGAACCGATTCCCATGCGGAAGGTCTCCGGTTCGATCCCAGCTCGGAGCAGGTTGGGTGGCGTAGAACCGGCGGGGTTACATTGGTGCCATGACCCAGATGGGAGTGAGGTTTAGGGGGGTGAGTGTAACGGAGGCTAGCTGGTGATGTGCTGTGCAGGTAAACCTCCCTCCTCTGACCTCTAAAGGAGCTCTAGCAACAGAGCCTAGAGGCCATGGTCTTTAGCCTCCTTGTTAGAGGAACCAACTCCCATGCGAAAGGTCACCGGTTCGATCCCAGCTCAGAGCAGTTTGGGTGGTGTAGGACCTGCTAGGTTACATATAAAGGTGAACGTTTTGAAGATGTACCTATAGAATAAATAGATTATAAATATGTTTCTTCTTAAATTAATCACCCAGCTCCAAGCAAGAGCATAGTCTCCAATCAATTCTTTGGGTGCTTTCACACTAGCACTTTTGGTCTGCGTTCCGGTTCGCTTGACAAGTATGATACGTTTAGCCAGTGTGAACGTGTCTTTTAAACTCAGGTGTGCACCCATGAAGCGTAGCTGAGTTTGGGTGTAGAGTTCAAGGGAACTCTGGTATGGTTCACTTCTGATAGGAATTCATTCGTACCAAATAACGGAAGTGAACTGCCAACCGTACAACAAACTTTGATTTTATAACGTTCATTCGTGTGTGCAGGTCTGTGTATCACCTACCATGGTGACAAGCAGGACTGACCCAGTGCAGTGGTTTTGGTAGCAAAAGCAGAATGACCGTGCATACGACATTTGGCCGTCACATGGCCTAAAACCAGGTGTTTCAGTTTCATTGTCCAAGCCCTGTGTGTGTGTGTGTGTGTGTGTGTATATATATATATTAGGGATGCAACAACACAGTTAGCCCACGGTTCAATACATACCTCGTTTTTTTTACATGGTGTTCAGTTCGGTTCTCATGGCTTGACATGTGTGTTTTTTTTATTCTATAGGCAATATGAACAGTAAGAGGTTAAGGAGGAAAAAAATCTAATCAATTTATTGCAATACTCATTTTGTTTTACTTAAAAGCCAAAAAAAGTACAGTAGTTCCTAGAGTATTGCATAAAAATGAACACTGAAATCTCATAGCTGCTGGTAGCCGATGCACAAACTGGGGAACACATAAAATCCGACACATTGAAAAAAACTTACATGTAAAGTTAATAAAGATGAATTGGCCATTTAAAATAAACATGTTTGTACTTCAGTAAACATAAATAAACCATCTTCATTATCTCATAGCTGGATAAATGCGAGACTGTAGTCTGACGCGGATCGAGTGCTTTTATAAGATGACATAAGCCCACATCTCCAATCACCGAAAATGGCCGCAAATCTTCAGCAGTAATCACCCGCACTGCCTTTGTTATTTTGTGTGTCTCTCGGGACCAGTTGGGTATGTTTGCTTGACAGATTCAGCGAGGGATTGTGGCTTTTTGGAGGACTTTATCACCTTCTCTGCTCTCCTGCTTCAGACAGTGATTTTGCTGGGTGATGGCGCTGCAGATGTGCAGTCATGGTTATATGTGTAAAACAATGCCTGCACACACTTATTTTTTGTTCACCGTTTTTAAAATTTTATTATTATTATTATTTTTTGCCATTATACTCACTGGCAAAATCGAAATGTCCTCAAACCGCAGATTAGAAAGACACCGGCGCTTTCCTGTACTGTTGCCTCACTTCACCGCCGCTCGCCATGTTAAAGTGTGGAGTGATGGTCAAGCGCCCCCTAACTTTAGAGCATAGTGATTGGATATTTACTCGCGGGGAGGAGTTTCCTCATCTCAGCTCATGGACATACAGGCACACACAGTCAATTCGGGGAGATATAAAATGCACATCAATTATTTAAACGCAAAACCGAGAAAACCACAATTCACAAGCGCGTACTGAACCGTGGAGGTCGTACCGAACGGTTCAATATTATAATGATATCCCTAATGTATATATATATATATATGTGTGTGTGTGTGTGTGTGTGTGTGTGTGTGTTTGTGTGTGTGATACCAGTATTTCCCTTTTTATTTTTTGAGTACATTCTTAAAAGCCTGATCTGTCATCGTGAAAATGGTAAATAACCAAATGTTTTTACCCCCTTGTAGGATTGTTAGCAAAGAGAGTCATTTTGACAACACTAAAACGAGTTCATTTTCACAGGACTTCGTTACAGTCAGTCATTCAAATCCTACTTTGTGTTTTCAGATATTTTAGAGCACTCACTATAGTAGAATAGTAATAGGTTTAGGTTAGTATTATCTTAAATAAAGCTCAAATGTGTAAGTGGAGGCTTGAGGATGAAAACCAACCTGTTTGTTCCTCAGGATCTTCATGTTCGACTGTGAATGTTCCTCCAATCTGCACTTCTTCAATCTCCTCTTTAATGAACGCCATCTTTATACCAGTCTGGCACGTGGAGCGTTTCTCAACCCTGTTCCTGCAGGCACACCAACAGAACTTATTTTGGATGTCTCCTTATCTGGCCCATTCATTTACGGTTTTGGGGTCTCTTTTAATGCCCTGATGGGTTGATTCAGGTGTGTTTGGTTAAGAAGAATTTGAAAGTGTGTACTGCAATACACTAGATCAGGGGTCACCAATCTCAGTCCTGGAGGGCCGGTGCCATGCAGGGTTTAGCTCCAACTTGCCTCAACACACCTGGGTGTTTTAAGTATACCTAGCTTGAGTAGCTTGTTCAGGTGTGTTTGATCAGGGTTGGAGCTAAGATCTGCAGGACACCGGACCTCCAGGAACTAGTTTGGTGACCACTGCACTAGAGCATATACATTCATTTTCCATTGGCTTAGCCACTTATTTATTAACTGTGGCCAACGTAGAACAACCCGCCAACTATTCCAGCATATTTTTTACACAGCGGATGCCCTTTCAGCCACAACCCAGTGCTGGGAAACACCCCCACACACAAACTTTAGCCAATTTAGTTAATCAGTTCCCCTATAGCGCATACATTTGAACTGTGGAGGAAACCAGAGCACCCAAAGGAAACCCACGCCAACACGGGGAGAACATGCAAACTCCACTAAATTATAGTTAAAGTGTGGTAAACAAGGTAATCACCACAGATTTTTTTTTGTTTTGTCATGCATTGATTACCAACTTTATAAATCTATAAAGCTTCCTAGTTCAGCACACTAGTGAGGGAGTCAAAGGTAAATAAAATTAGTTAAATCGCCCGACTAGAAAACAAAAGCCCCACATTATTAAAGGAAAACTTAATAAAATGAATATTACTTCAGTAACTTGTAGATTATATCTAACTGACTGCACTTACATGATGAAAACATCAGCATGCTGGCTTTGAAGATTGTCATTATGACGTGTTTATGTTAACATTTTTATCTGCTTTTTGAAATACAACAGAGATCAGCGAGCAGGGAACCGGACTATAATGTTTTATATATATATATATATATATATATATATATATATATATATATATATATATATATATATATATATATATTTATACAACACTTCTGTCTGGTTCTCAAATCTGATTGGCTGAAAGCCGTGAGATATTCTGCAATATCAGAACTCCTACAGCCTCTTTACCCTTTGTGTATTACTCCGCACACATACAGCCAGCAAAAAGCAGACACTACAGATCTAAAGTTTAAAAGATGCTCGCTCAGGTGTTTAACTGCCAGCTTATGATTTGAATCCAATGCGGAAGAAAGTAGTTCCTCATACAAAAGGGTTTTTGAGACTCTCCATGTTTGATATTGTTTTTATATACACAATTATGCCGTCAAACTGTTGTATAAACGCAATATCACACTCCTAGCAGTGCGATATACAGCCATATCGCACTGCTACTCGTATGATATTGCTCATATATATATATATATATATATATATATATATATATATATATATATATATATATATATATATATATATATATATATATATATATAATGCTATACTGACTCGGAGTTTTAAAGCTGACCACATTTACGTTCATATTTAACTGATTCACGATATGGGGAGCGAAATAAGACGTAGTGTTAGCCAATCAGACATGCGCTTGACTGATCAACATTTTTCTTTATATTGTATTGACCTTATTCTAAAATGCGGAAGTGCGCCTGTTTTCACGATAGAACTTCCGATTCAGTCGTCTATGGGAGAAATGACTAGGAATAATAAACGGCAGAAAACGGTCGACAAACAAGTGTTTGCATGACTATACAGACCAAGTAGAATAACATAATAAGGAAATATCAGTTTGCAACATCAAACAGCGAAACGAGCAGTTTTTAATGTCTAAAAATGAATGGAAGTGAATGAGACCAGAAGTCTCGAGCCAAAAAGATTTAAATGGCTGCGCCCGCTCGTCAGCAATGAATGAGGTGAATAAATCAGCTCGATAAAACCCTCAAACACAAACCTTTCTCCAGCCGAATCACAGATGGAAAACAGCGCGGCGCCGGTTTGTGACGTCATAACGCCACTTCGAGATAAAAGTCCCGTTTAAAACAACTAAACGTTTCCGTATATTAAATTGAGCAAATGTTGTTCACGCGCTGGAAATCCTAAATAAAAACCTTAATATCCAGAGTACGCTCTGATTTACCCGAAAGAACATAATGTGGAACGTTATCATCACTTCATGCACTGAAGAAGTCACATGACCATTTATAAAATAAACTTTTAGACATTTTAAAAATGTCAAATCAATTTTATATTTAATTTTTTTGTGGTAAAGACCCAATTATTGCTGTACAAATTGCACCTATTTATTTTCTTTTCAGCTTTGTCTCTTTATAAATCTGGGTCTCCCCAACGGAATGAACCGCCAACTTATCCAGCATATGTTTTACGCAGCAGATGCCCTTCCAGCAGCAACCCATCACTGGGAAACACTCATTCACACACATACACTACAGATAATTTAGCTTACCCAATACCTCTATACCACATCTTTGGACTTGAGGGAAACCCATGCGAACACCGGGAGAGCACGCAAACTTCACACAGAAATGCTGACCACTGACCTTCTTGCTGTGAGGCGATCATGCTACCCACTGCGCCACCATGACACCCAAATTGCACTTATATAGATTTGGGATGTTTGTGAACATGACTATAAGTCAATATATCGCAGCAACCAGAAAAGTCGATCTTCTTGTTAAACAGAAGAAAAAAAAAGATTTTTTCTTTGAACGAAATGAGAGTAAAAGATGACAGAATTAAAATTTTTGTGTGAACAAGAGTCTCTACCTAATTTGTTCTCGTCAAAACATAAAATAAATAAAAATTACTTTGGTTTTATCCATAGAAACACCCACAAACACCCACACACACACCCGCACACACACACACACACACACACCACACCTGCATACACACACACACACACGCACACACACACGCACACACACACGCACACACACACGCACACACACACGCACACACACCCACTCACCCACACACACACACACACCACACCCACCAACCCACCCACACACACACCACACCCAAACACACACACCACACACTCACACACACACCACACCCACCCTTCCACCCCCACCACACCCATCCACCCACACACACACACCACACCCACTCACCCACACACACACACACCACACCCACCAACCCACCCACACACACACCACACCCAAACACACACACCACACACTCACACCACACCCACCCTTCCACCCCCACCACACCCACACACACACACACACACACACCCAAACACACACACCACACACACACACAAACACACACCACACCCACCCTTCCACCCCCACACACACCACACCCACTCACCCACACACACCACACCCACTTCCACCCACCCACACACACACACACCACACCCACACACACCACACCCACTTCCACCCACCCACACACACACACACCACACCCACCCTTCCACCCCCCCCACACACACCCACTCACCCACACACACACCACACCCACTTCCACCCACCCACACACACACACACACACACCCTTCCACCCCCCCACACACACACCCACTCCCCCCCACACACACACACACCACATCCACCCTTCCACCCCCCCCCCCACACACACACACCACACCCACTCACTCACTCACACACACCACTTCCGCCCACCCACACACACACACACACACACACACACACACACACACACACACACACACACACACACACACACTGGTGATCTCAAAGCGTTTACTATTATTTAAAAAATGTAAATCTTTATTTTTCCGTTGTGTCATGACCCTGCAGTTTCAGCTACATCCCCGTGTATCCTCCCTGATTCTTGACCACGGCTGGAAGAACCTCAAGCAGCCGATTAATGTACTTGTTGCATTTGGCTTCAGTCAGTTCCTCAAACCAGAACTTGTGAATGGCAGCCGTTAACTCAGTCTTGATGGTCGGTTGAGCTTCTATCCGGAGGTACTCCTTCAGCTCATGCCACACCATCTCAATCGGGTTTAGATCAGGGGACTCTGCTGGGGTCTTCACCCAGTTAATGTCCTCCGCGGCGATCACCTTTCCTGCAGCCGTGTGCTTGGGGTCGTTATCCTGGATAAATCGGTGATGAACACCAAAGTTTTCCCTGATGTACGGTGCTGCGGTTTCTCTTATGATCGTGTCTTCAAAGAAAGTCCTGTCCAATATCCTGTCAAAGATGACGATAGGTCCTGGTCCGAGTCTGGAAATGGCTGCCCAGACATGAACTTTCACGCAACGCTTCCTCTTGGGCTCGAACTCTCGTCTTTCTGTTTTACAAACGGAGGAAAAGTGATCCAAAGTCAGCGTAATTTCATCTGAGAAAATGACGTCGTGAAACATTTCCTTTTCGTCGATCCATTTCTGAGCTAGTTGGAGACGTGCTTCTTTATCCGTGTCTGCGATCGTTGGACGAAGTAGGTTTTTCTTGTATCTCCAACCAAGTTTTTGCTTGATTCTGCGGATGCTTCGCTCACTGACGCTCACTCCATTGTCACGCCAGATATGTTTTTTCACCGAGCTTACCGTTGTTTTTTGGTTTTGGCTCATCATTTGGTCTATGGCTGCAACAATGTCCCTGTAAAACAAACATACGTTAAATATTTGACACTCACAGCCTGTTTACAATTGGTCATGTGCTTTGTCTGATCAGACTTGTATCAGGGGTCTGCTTTTCGTACCTTGCTTAAATGATCTAAGATCCTGAATCCTGGATCTGTTAATCTTGATAACTGATCTCTGGCTAATTCGGTTCTTCAAACAAGTTCGTGAATTAGATTCGAATGTCTGAATGAACTGATCTGAGATTGCTGCGTGTGTTGTGAAGGACAGATCTATCCATCCTCAAAATCATGCAACGACTGGCTGACGGCACAGCAGCGTAATGACATCATCTGATTAATATTCAATTATCCATGTGAGCAAAATTACATCAAATTAGCAGCAAACGGTTTGTTAAATATAATAAACAATAACTTTCCACATTTGTTGTGAGCTGCAGGCTTTACACTGTCATGTGTCGAGAGTATTCATCATGTATTTCAGTGCATATCACTGTATTTAGCTCTACATTTAGAGAAGATTTTCTTTATTATAGTAGCCGTTTTTTAATCGGTGTAAAGAATAACTGGATGTTTACAAAAGCATTGTCATGTTGGTAAAGGCGTCTGCAACTTGTTAAGCATCAAATCACTGGCATATTAACTGTCAAAACATGTTTATGACTGCATTAATGTATTATTGCTTTTAAAAAGTCATATTGTGCATTTCTGTTATATACAAATTGTACTAAGCGATCTAAAAAGTTCATATTAATAAGTTTTCCTTTTTGCACCGCCAGGTGGCAGTCTTTGTACTTTCATTTCGGGGGTGCAGATTGCATAAGTTTTATTAATATATAACTGTATTTATTTTATTAATAACTATAACTTTATATAGGTTTAAAAAAATTGTATTTTCCCAAGTGTATAGCTGCGTCCCAAATGCACACTATACACTATGCACTCATGCACTATGTACTTATGCACTTACACACTCAACAGTATAGTATATGTATGTAGTGTAGTCCCAAATGGCACACTAATGTTTTTTTACTAAGCGGAAATTCAAACTGTGTCCCTAAAGACGGTCGCAAAATCAGTGAAATAAACTGATAAAAATTATCAAATAATACCTGCCGTGAGTATAACCGCATTCACCATCGGGAGGCGCTATAATCACTCTCGTAGGAGAATACTGCTTTCACTATCCAAAATAAATAAAGTTATCCAACATGTGCGCCCGATAGCTCCGCCCCTTCCGCTACAAGAGCAAAACTGCGGTCGTTGAGTGCGTGAAGTGTCCATCATTCCACACTTCATGTTACCGGTTGAATGAGTGATCATCCGGGTAATTAAAAAGCTCTTATTATTATTATATATATTTATATATATATAATGATATACTGACTCTGAGTTTAAAGCTGACCACATTTATGTTCATATTCAACTGATTACCAATATGGGGAGCGAAATAAGACAATCAGACATGCGCTTTACTGATCAAAAGTTTCTATATATTGTATTGACGTTATTCTAATGCGTAAGTGCGCCTGTTTTTCACGATAGAACTTCCGATTCAGTCGCCTATGGGAGAAATGACTAGGAATAATAAACGGCAGAAAACGGTCGAACTACTTGCAGCAAATAATACCTGCCGTGAGTATAACCGCATTCACCATCGGGAGGCGCTATAATCACTCTCGTAGGAGAATACTGCTTTCACCATCCAAAATAAATAAAGTTATTCAACATGTGCGCCCGATAGCTCCGCCCCTTCCGCTACAAGAGAAAACCTGCGGTCGTTGAGTGCGTGAAGTGTCCATCATTCCACACTTCATGTTACCGGCTGAATGAGTGCATCATTCGGGTAATTAAAGTGCTCTTATTATTTTGAGAGTTTTCAGTGTGAACGCACTATTAACACTATTTATACTACAAAATGGCGTAGAATAGTGCATAAGTATTCGATGTGGGACGCAGCTTATGTAAATACTACTGTAAGAAAATATCAGAATTCGGTATACTTTCAGTATTATCTTTGCATGAACTGACCTGATCTAATCCTGTTTATTTGAATTAAACCTGCTTCAGACCAGGTTTGAGCTAGCAGAACTGTTGCTATGACAACAACTCTCAGATCAGTTTTGAAGAACGAAACGATCCTGGATCGTGTCAAATCGTCAATAACCAAATCCAGCTAAGTGAGTAATCCACACACGAAGAACGGACCCCTGGTGTCAACAGCTCCTTAATGTGGAAGTGAAGAGCTAACACATTGGGTTAAAATAGGCTTTCCAGTCGCCATGATCAGTCCAGTATTTCTACTTTATCTTTATTTGTCACAGACATATTTCAAGATGGTGGCTCCCTTGGTCTAAAAGCGATAGTAAAACACGCCCTATTCCTCAAAATGGTTACATGCATAAGTGGAATTCAATTTTCAACATAATGTAAACTTGACCGACTGACTTGCAAACAAAACCCCACATCACCGCATGAATGTAAAAGTAAGAGTGAAGGAACCTACTGCTTCATTTTGCGAGGGTTGCGTTTGTGAATTATGCGTTCTCTGTAATGTCTTCTGATGGTGCTGAGCGTGGTGTTTACGCCGACAGACTTCAGATAGCGATTTATTTCCTGAGTGGACTTCCCCGCAGACCTCATGGCCCTGATGTCTTCGGAATGAAGCTTGGTGACTTTGGTCATCTTGAAATGTCTTGGCCGTCCGTGCGGATGGATGCTATTTATCTACACAGAGGTCATGATGCCACTGGGGAAATCGGATTCTGTGAGGAATTTTCAGATTTGAATATTAAAAAAAAAAAGCCTACGGAAATTTCAGACCTTCATTTAACTAAAGTTTAGTAGATTTCACTGTGTTGTCATCAACCATTTGTGATGTTAATTTCTTAAAATCCCTGTCGTATAGTAATTACAGTCCATAATCATTTCATTAAATGGAGTTACACTAATAAAATGGGTCACACTTTACAATAAGGTTCACTAGTTAATGGTAATAATGAATTTACTAAGATGAACAATACATTTACTACTGTATTTGTTCATGTTGGTTAACGTTAGTTAATAAAAATACAGTAGTTCATTGTTAGTTCATGTTAACTCGTGACATTGAATGTTAATAATGCATTAGTAAATGTTTATTATGATTAATAAATGCTGTACATGTGCTGTTCATGATAAGTTCATGTTAGTAAATGCATTAACTAATGAACCTTATTGTTAAGTGTTACCATAAAATGATTATACAATACAAACTTTATCGTCAGACTTACATCTGAAATTTTTCTAGCATCACAGCATGTTACATACTCCCTGCAATGGGACAAAAACTAAAACACGTACATAAAGAAAAGCAGAAAGTTTAATTTGACACTGACATTACTTTGCTCCAGGCGACGCGGTGTTGCAGTGGGCAGCACAACTCACCTCACAGCAAGAAGGTGAATGATTTAATTTCACTTTATTTAAACCTGGAACTTTAAATCGACGATCTGTCTTTAATGGTGTAAGTTCATGATTCAAATGGGATTGAAATGATTATATAAAATATAATAAGATAATTCATTATGGTAGTCACAAAACAAACTCGATTACCTGACAGCAAATGTCCATCATAATAAAGCAAACTTCATAAAATGTATGAATATAATAAAGCAAAAACACTCATTTCCTTTATAATTCAGTGAGTAAAGTAATATTGTTTCTGTGTTTTAGTAGATATATTACACCACAGACTGTTGCCAAACAAGTGGCTCCAATTGAATTTACATTAAAAACTGTTTTGTTTTATTTTATGTGTTATTATCAACTCTTGTGTTCTCAAAGTCATTCCAAACAGATGTATTTGTTTTAAATGAATGTTACATATATTGAATGGATCGTGTTAGCATGCTAACACGGCTAGGACGATTAATAACTATACGCGATCGTCGGCGCATATTATAGATAGTCTCTTCACGATTACACACTACTCTTCACTAACTATCCAACCGTTAACTCAGCAATATTAACACGATTACTCACGTTTGTTGCATGAACATGTAAAAATAACTAGGTTAGCGCATCCATCCCTCTACAAGAGGTACCACACTAAAAACAGTCCGTCGGAAAGCACTGATTCATTTTACATTCCGAGTGGATTTTCTGACAACTTCAGAACAAGAAATAACTCAGAAAAATCAGGTATCGACATAAATATATAACAAGTGGAATTTATAATGCAGATATGTTGTACATATACAACATATGTCCAGCAAATTACAATCACTGAAATAAGTCATGATGACTAAATTTGCAGCAAATCCTTTCAAATTTACAAGTATTCAGAGCATGATATATAGATATATATAGAGTTATATTTTACCCAATTTCTGATTAACGAAGAGCAGATTTCTACAGCACATTTCTAATCATAATAATTTTAATAACTCATCTCTAATAACTGATTTATTTTCTCTTTGTCATGATGACAGTAAATAATATTAGACTAGATATTCTTCAAGACACTTCTATACAGCTTAAAGTGACATTTAAAGGCTTAATTAGGTTAATTAGGGTAACTAGGCAGGTTAGGGTAATTAGGCAAGTTATTGTATAATGATGGTTTGTTCTGTAGACTATCGAGAAAAAATAGCTTAAAGGGGCTAATATTATTGACCTTAAAAGGGTGTTTAAACAATTAAAAACTGCTTTTATTCTAGCCGAAATAAAACAAGTAAGACTTTCTCCAGAAGAACAAATATTATCAGACATACTGTGAAAACTTCCTTGCTGTTAAACATAATTTGGGAAATACTTAAAAAAACAAGAAAGAAATTCAAAGGGGGGCAAATAACTCTGACTTCAACTGTATATATATATATATATATACATACATGTGTATGTGTGTATACAGTGTTCTCATGCTCCAGCCACTGATATAATGTAGTTCATTTAAGTTCTGAGATAACACACACAAAACTGAAACACTTTAAATACTTTAATCTCAGTCACACCGTACTCATTATCCCAGAAAGGAATCAGAGGAATGTCACATTGTCTTATAGGATTTTTCTCTGCACGCTTAAGAACTCTGAAAAAAAATCTGACTTGGGAAACACTTAATTGAGATTACTTACAATTTACAGACTTATAGTAGGTGTCCTTCACTGGCCAAATCTGAATATAGTTCAACCAAAGGCAATTTACCATTCTTTTTAAATAACAATAAAAAAAAAAAAAGAATATATATAAATATATATATATATATATATAGTTGAAGTCAGAATTATTAGCCCCCCTGAATTATTAGCGCCCGTTTATTTTTTACCCAATTTCTGTTTAATGGAGGGAAGATTGTTTTAGCACATTTCAGCACATAATAGTTTTAAAAACTTATTTCTAAAAACTGATTTATTTTCTCTTTGCCATGATGACAGTTAATAATATTAGACCAGATATTCTTCAAGACACTACTATACAGCTTAAAGTGACATTTAAAGGCTTCACTAGGGTAATTAGGGTAACTAGGCAGGTTAGGGGAATTAGGCAAGTTATTGTATAACAGTGGTTTGTTCTGTAGAATATCGAAAAAAATAAATTAGCGTAAAGGGGCTAATCATTTTGTCCCCAAAATGTTTTTTAAAAATGAATAACTGCTTTTATTCTGGCCGAAATAAAACAAATAAGACTTTCTCCAGAAGAAAAAATATTATCAGTCATACTGTGAAAATTTCCTTTCTCTGTTAAACATCATTTGGGAAATATTTAAACAAGAAAAAAAAAATCAAAAGGGGGCTAATAATCTTGACTTCAACTGTATATATATATATATTTATTTATTAGTGCTGTCACCTCACAGTAAGAAGGTCGCTAGTTCGAGTCCCGGCTGGGTCAGTTGGCATTTCTGTGTGGAGTTTGCATGTTCTATTTCAAATAAAAATCTCAATATTAAATAAGGAAACATAAGCTGGACCACAAAAGATCCACGTCATAATGAATGCTCAAATAATGAAGCCTATAATTTATAGCAAAGCACCATGTTTAGACTGTCGTCTGTCATGTACAGTAGGCCTATAGGTGAGTTATTTTTACTAAAGAAGATTTATTATTTAAGTTTATCACCAGAACTAAAGAAACTGTACTTAAAAAAAATGGCACAGTATCGGGATCGGAGCTGAATCGGTCGATACTCAGAATTTTAGTATCGAGATTGGATCGGTTCCAAAAAATTGGTATCGTTCAGTGTTGGGCAGTAGTGTTGCTACAATTAGTGATGCTACTAACTTAACTGCATTTCTCAGTAGCGTGGCGGTCGCGTCGCTACTTTCTAAATCAAATAGCTTTTCAGTAGCACAGCTATTTTATTAGTCAAGTAGCACAGTAGCGTCTACACAAGCTACATTAACAGATCGTGGATCATCGAGTGACGACACCGACATTCACAGAGCTGTGAGGCCGGAGTCTAGCCGATGAAAGTAAATCCATATGATGGCAAGAATGAGGAATTCTTCTTCTTCCTGTTTTATGGTGTTCGACAACAGGGTTTTTGGTGCGTTACTTCCACCTCTGGTTGGCGACGTTGCCAACCGAAACTTGCTTGATGGAAAGATGACTGAGGGAGAGTAGTTTTTTTCTGAAGCAGGATATTTCATGACCATACCTCGAGAAGTACATGTTAAATGCAATAACTAAATTTCTGATGCTGTGCTCAAACAATACTTTAGTATATATATAGCGAGATCGGGCCGAAGCAGTGGCGCAGTAGGTAGTGCTGTCGCCTCACAGCAAGAAGGTCGCTGGTTCGAGTCTCGGCTTAGTTGACGTTTCTGTGTGGAGTTTGCATGTTCTCCCTGCGTTTGCGTGGGTTTCCTCCGGGTGCTCTGGTTTCCCCACAGTCCAAAGACATGCGGTACAGGTGAATTGGGTAGGCTAAATTTTCCGTAGTGTATGAGTGTGTGTATGGATGTTTCCCAGAGATGGGTTGCGGCTGGAAGGGCATCCGCTGCGTAAAAACTTGCTGGATAAGTTGGCGGTTCATTCCGCTGTGACAACCCCTGATAAATAAAGGAACTAAGCCGTCAATAAAATGAATGAATGAATAGCGAGATCGCTGCTGAAAGTGGTGCGGGGGGGATTGACACAGGCCCTTGATAATGTCTCTGGGGCCCCCCTAAATGTATGGGCCCTTAGAATCGTCCTAACTCCACCCACCCCCCAACCCCCAAGCGCTGCCTCTGGCTCTCCTCACTACATTTTTCAAGTAGCTTGCCCAACACTGGTATCGATAAATCCCTATAATAACTTATGCTAGATGCTATGAGCATGCATAAATTCTCAGTCACACTCATGCCGTGTCTGGCGTGTCATATCATGATTAACACTCTTATGGACACCCCTTCAAGTAAAGCATTACCGAATAAATTTCACAACACACAAGACGGGAGAATCACGAAACCTGTCTCTCTTCCTCTAATGAGAAATGTCAAAACTCGGCGTTGTGCTGAAGCCAGGCGGTTACAAAATCTGCACAGCTCCATTCATTCACCCACACTGTTCCAGATGTGCTGTCAGAATACGCACCGCTTTGCAACACAATGCTCGATTGTTTTCTAAGGCTGTATTCATTGGCAGAAAAGATTCACACAAATCCACCACACACATTCTTTCTGGACGTTTCACTTGTTTATATTTTGACTTGTTTATAAAACTAATGAAAAACATTTCCATCGACAAATCATTGATGATTAAAGCATTCTGGCTTTTTCCAGCACTGTTCACTGATTTTTCCATCCTTCATTCTCAGGGAAGTGCTTTAGTTTATGACCTGAATTCATCTTTATAAGTCTGTTTAACAGTGGCGCACTGGGTAGCACGATCGCCTCACAGCATGAAGGCAGCTGGTTCAAGCCTTGGCTGAGTTAGTAGGCATTTCTGTGGGGAGTTTGCATGTTCCCCCCATGTTTGCGTGGGTTTGCTCCCCCCATAGTCCAAACACTTGTGGTATAGGTGAATTTGGCAGACTAATTTGTCCGTAGTGAATGAGAGTGTGTGGGTTGCAGCTGGAAGAGCATTCGCTGTGGAAAACATATGCTGGATAAGTTGGCAGTTCATTCCGCTGTGGCAACCCCAGATTAATACACAGACTAAGCCAAAAAGAAAATGAATGAATGAAATCAGTTAAACAGTGTATTATTTAAGACTTGAAGGGAAAACAGAAAGCCTACAAGCCCTTCTCAATTCCCAGGAAATACATGCTTATAGGCTGTACAGTGGTGCAGTGGGTAGCACGATCGCCTCACAGCAAGAAGGTCGCTGGTTTGAGCCTCGGCTGGGTCAGTTGGTGTTTCTGTGTGGAGTTTGCATGTTCTCCCCGTGTTGGTGTGGGTTTCCTCTGGGTATGCTCTAGGGGAATTGGGTAAGCTAAATTATCTGTAGTGTATGAGTGTGTATGGATGTTTTCCCAGTGATGGGTTGCAGCTGGAAGGGCATCCGCTGCGTAAAACATATGCTGGATATGTTGGTGGTTTATTCCGCTGTGGAGACCCCAGATTATTAAAGGGACTAAGCCGAAAAAGAACTTGCTTGTACCTGCTGAAGATTTGATCCTACATTACGTTCACTTCCATCCTGGAAATCGAAAGAACCGCACTACAGAAAGTCCAATCTTTGACGTTTATATGCTCAACATTTTATAAACAGAACATCCGAACAATCAGAATCACATCCATCCAAACCTGTCAAAAATGTCCAGAATTCAGTCACAACTGCAATAAATCAACAAACATGATAATAATATTTCAAGAGTTCACACTTAGATATTGCTTGACAGCTGTAAGCAGGTTTGGCATGCTGTCCCGGGAGAGAACCCTGAGCTCGGAGATAGTTGAGCCCAGGGCTCCCGCCAGGTCCATAGAGCATGTGAGGGGAGTACGAGAGTTCTCGAGAGCTCCCCCTTTTTTTTTTTTTTGTAAAGGAAAAAAAGAAGGAGAAAGGGGTGGATGGGGGGTTTCTTCGAAAAACGAAGATAAGGGAGTAATATCTAGCTAGGCTACTTATAGTGAGTTAGGATAGATCTGATTGGCTAACTAATGAGTGTAGATAGGTGGCCAGCTGCAGTCAATTATATCACGTGCTCCTCTCGAAATGTTTAAAAACTTCACTTAAAAAATAAACATTATTAGTTTCATGTTAACACGTCCATTAATAAAACACACACATATATACTCAAGAGATAGCATATGATGAATAAAATCGACACCTTTTCCTTCATGATTGACCTTAGTAGTAATACAGACCAGTGTTTCATAAGACCAGGGGCCTCATGTAGGAAGACTTGCGTTGAATTCATACTAAAACACTGTGTACGGACAAAGTTGTAAATGTGCGTACGTAGTAAAAAAAATCAGATGTATGAAAAAAAAACCAATAAAACCATGCTGGTCGACCAGCTAAAACCAGCCAACCAGCTTAGGCTGGTTTAAGCTGGATTTTTCAGCTGGGTTGTCATCATTACTGCAAACTTAAATGAGCGATAATATAATTAATTTTGGAGGGGGGTCTTACAAAATTTTCCAGGGGGAAAGGGGGTCTCAGGCAAAAAAAGGTTGGGAACCACTGATCTAAATCATATAATTGGTCAAAAAAATGTTTCAATGAACCCATTTTATCAATTATAAATGAATAGCAATGTTTTGCACATGTGTTGGTGCGATACTTTGTAGTGTGCAATTTAACATGATTGCCTCTAGAAGTCGCCAATGCAAATAAAACAAACACACACAAGAAACACACGTACGCCAGACATGAAGTTGGCATGGACCAACGCACATTCTCACATTCATTTCATCGTTAGCAGGCCCGGCCCTAACCAATTTGGTGCCCTAGGCAAGATTTCAGGAGGCGCCCTGTCACATCGCAGTAAATTCCACTGCTAGTGTATAGTCATAAGAAACTAAACAGCTTTTTGATCGACTACTATAGGAAAACGTCAGATAAATATGCCAATGCGATTAACGTTATCGCTGAATAGATCTAATATTTACACATTTGCTTGAGGAAGGAATGATGGGGGTAGTTACATTACTATTACTTTTTTCCATAACATCTATGCCCTTCCATTACATTAGCTGACGGTAAACCTAACAGATAGCACTATAGCTATTTATTGATTAGCAATAATATGCTATATCTGTCAACGTTGGGATGTAAAAAATATGGAACTACAAATAGTATCAAATGGTAGAATACATAGCAAACAATAGAAAATATTGCCAATAAAATAAAAGGTTTAACCTATTAAAAACAATGGCCTATTGACCTTATTCTAAAATGCAGAAGTGCGCCTGTTTTCGCGATTGTCTTAGAACTTCCGATTCAGTCGCCTATGGGAGAAATGACTAGGAATAATAAACGGCAGAAAATGGCCAAACTACTTGCTCAACAAACAAATGTTTGCATGACTACACAGACCAAGTAGCATAATATAATAAGAAAATATTAAATTGCAACATCAAGCAGCGTAACGAGCAGTTGTTAACGTCAAAAAATGAATGGAAGTGAATGTGACCGGAAGTCGCGAGACAAAAAGATTCAAATGGCAGCGCCCGCTCGACAGCTGAGAATAAGGTGAATACAGAAATTAAATAAAGCTATAAAATCTATTTAACTTTTAATTGTATTTGCATATTGATTAAAGTTACTAGAGTTATTTAGTGAAGAGCAGCAGATTAATCTCTCATTGTGTTTTGTTTGATAACAGAGGTGTTCATGTAAGAATGCACAGATCTATATGAATGAATGAATGAAGCATTCGACTACTTTAGTAACTGTTTGTGCTCATTTAAGAGAAAATGAGTTGTGTTTAAAATAAAACAAGCAGGACAGAGCAAAAAATAAATAAAATACGAAAAAAAGAAGCACTTCCGACGGGCCCTTACTGAGAGCTCCACTCCGCGCGAGCTCTCCCGGCTAAACGCATATCCCCGGCTAAACGCATATCCCTGGCTAAACGGAGCAGTGGTCATAATGTCGAGCGAAAAAAAACAGAAAAAGACAGCTGTGAAACATAACCAGCTTGGTCTTTTTGTAGGAAACACACTTTAGATATTTTTAGGGTAAGAGGTTTTTGAATTATTGCCATCTATCACTGAATGTGTCAGGAATATCGAAAACAAAACCAACTTAACCCCGCTCATTTCTGGCGCCCCCTGGATGTACAGCGCCCTTAGCATTTGCCTATACTGCCTATGCCACGAGCCAGCCCTGATTTCCAAACGTGAGTGTGAAACCTGGCAAAGTTTTTGTGCGTACGCAGCGTTGATACATGAGGCCCCTGATGCGGTCAAATTGGGAATGCTTGTAGCACAACAGATTATCACAATCAAAAGTGTGCCCTTTTTAAGATTAAAAAGTGGTGCACTGTAAACAACAGGTAGAAGATGTACTAAATAAATAAAAAAATCTCTGCATGAACCAGTCAACCCAAAAGTGATGCATAAAAACCGTCCACATTCGTTTTATAGATTTTGTTTAAGCCATGTTATATAGTTGTTCGTCATGCGGTGTCCGATCTCAAAGTCTGTGGGCCACACGGTGAACATCAATGCACCGTGGAATCCACTGGGGTAATGTTCATGCGTGACGTCCACTCCAGCATTGCGCAAACGTGTGACGTACATCAAACCATCGTCCCGCAGGACGTCATACTCGCAGGTCAACACGTACGCTTTAGGCAGGAAGCGCAGCGCTGTATCAGGCACCAGCAATGGAGACGCACGTGGATCTGCAAGCAAGTGGTGCGCACCGATAGAGCGTACAGGACCTTTTCCAGTGAGGACAGGTGGAGCGCTGTAATTGTATGTCTGGCGATAGGAATCAGGCAAGTATGAACTCCAATTGACAAACTTAAGCAGAGCTGCAGACTCGTGGTTGTTGTGTGTGTTTGCCATCATGGCTCTCAAAAAGGACTTGTCGCTGGTGAAGTACTCGCTCCAGAAGCGGACCATCAGCGTGCGGGGCAGTATTGGCATGTGCTGGTTCTGCTGGTAGGAGGGAGTCTTCAGATCCAAGGCTTGCAGGACGGGGTAGATTAGAGCCTGGGCCTTTAGCTGGATGTGCTGTTCGGGGTCCTTCCGCAACTGAAAACGCAACAAAAAAAGATCGATATTTTAAAATGATGTGCACTAAAATAAAGCAGCTTCAGTTCAATTCTTATCAAAAAGGTCAAATTAAAGTGTTGGGAAGGCTTGAACGTTACTGATTTTCAGCTCAAGCTGCCAAAAAAAGTTCTGACAATTGTTAAAATCAAATAGAAATGACTAGTTGTGAAAAGTTAAATTAATTAAATACATTTTACTCTGTAATATAAAGCTATATATATATATATATATATATATATATATATATATATATATATATATATATATATATATATATATATTAGGGGTGTCAATTTATGCTCAATTTCGATTATCGAATCAAAAAATAGTATCGTCGATGCTGCCACGCCCCCATGTCACGTCAGCTTGGCTTGCCAAGCGGGAAAGAAACAGGCTTGTTGAAGTGCTTGTTAAACTGCAGAAGCAGGAGACCCGTCGACAGAGCTTAAACTCTCTCCTCTTTCAATGAAGTCGCCGGTGTGGAAGCATTTTGGATTTCCAGTGAGTTATGTTGACAACGTTCGTGTTGTCGACCAAAAAAAAACACAGTTTTGCAAGCTCTGCTATGTACGTATTACGTACGGTTCGTCCGATAGACATCACCGGCATCGCGATCCTCCGCCCCGCCCCCGTTGCAAATCCGCTCGCGAAAAGTTCACACTCAGGCCCTGTTTACACTGTCTTTATTTTTAAATGGCATTTTAGAATGACAACGATTTGACATCCACAGTGGCGTGTAGCATTTCTGAGCAGCCCTCCTTCCTCTCTACCTCTGAAAATGCACATCACGTGACCACACACACACAGACGCACACACAGCCATGCGCTCGAGACAGCAGGTCCAGGCAGTCAGAGGACTGCTTCAATCTTTCACTCACTTGTACTTCGTCATTTTAGCCAACACCTCAGATACTGTTGGCTGGTTCCTGTTGGTTGTGTGTCTTTTTTACCGACGCCATTATAACGACACAGATCACTGCCTATTCACGAGTCCCGCAGAAAAAGTGACTGACAGGTGGTAATTATGTGTGTATCTTGCCTTTATTCATTTACTGTATGATTTGTTTATGGGTAAAACAAAGACCATGCAGGTCAGGTAGTTTAAACGGTAGGCTACAAATAATTAATTGGTCATTAAATAATTATTCATAATCGAATCGAGAATCGAATTTGGAGGATCGTGACACCCTTAATATATATATATATATATATATATATATATATATATATATATATATATATATATATATATATATATATATATATATAAATAACAACAGTTCTGATTCTTGAATCTGATTGGCTGCTAGCCGTGTGATATTCTGCCAGTAACAGCACTCGACCATCCTCCTCACCCTTCATCCTTGTGTATTACTCCGCCCACATACAGCAACAAGCAGAGGACACTCTACAGTTTGACAGATATTGCAGCTGTTGGGCAACATATTGTACTTTTGAGGCTCTTTTAGTCAAGAATGCAGTTGTTTAGATTGCAACTAAGCAGTTTATTTATAAGGATAGTGCCTATTTTAAAATATTTATAATTTCTGAGGGATGGCATTAGCCTGCCATACTGAGTAGACCAAAGACGGCTGACGTTGTCCATCCACAAGATGGCGACAGGACCTCATAATAAGCCCTTAGAAAACTCATTCAATCATTCATTCATTTTCTTTAAAAAAAAATCAAACCCCAAAGGCTGTATATCCTACTGTGGTCTTATATTTGAAGTTTTATTTGAAGATCAAACCTGCTGAGCTACTGCAGCTGCAAGGTTGCCTCCAGCACTGTCTCCAGACACAGCAATCCGCTCTGGGTTGATATTGTATCTCTTCAGAACATCATTCCGGAGGAAATACTTCACCACACGGTGAACATCCTCAAACTGCACAGGAAAATGATAAGCTGGGGCAAGACGATACCTGCACAAAGCGAAGTACATTGACAGTGCTTGTTACAATCGTATATATTACTGTCACAATAGATATGTTTTATTCATCTGAAATAGCTGATAATCATTAACTGATGTTGTTTTGGAGAGCACGGCTGTCCACTGGAGATCAGCACAAATTGTACATTACACAAGCATCCCGTGTGTGTAGCAGCCTACTCATTCAGGGTTCATTGCTTGTTACCTTGATTACCAAGTGAATCCGATGGTGTGAATGTAACTGAGACTGGAAACATTACTAGGCACACACTACACATCAATTAATTAGCTGATGCCACTCAAAACTGCATCTTTTAATCACAAGGTGGTAGACGTGATCATTCATCAGATTTCAATAAAGTGTAAGGACGGGTTTTCTGACCATATTGTCAAAAGCAGACGCATGCAATAACAGCTCTAAAAATCTCTGGAGAGAAGATCTGCAAGAAACAGCTCTTCCCTTACACTTTTTGCTAAGTTTTGTTTCTGGAGGCCGATATAAATACTTTAGGTGTGACATGGTTTTGGTTCATCATCAATAAAACAGGTCAAAACAATGAGAACAATGTTCCAATACAGGCTCATTGGAGGTACATGCCCAGGGCAACTACGTTAAATATGTGCCCTGGCATACTGTAAGTCTGGCTGACCCCACAGACAACTTCAGTTCCTTTTTGGAGGACTTCTGACCGCTTACCTCCACATGGACAGCGCACATGATCAGTTTGCTCTGTAGCTCACCTTGTAAGATGTCACACTTGGAAGGGAAGCTGATCACGATTAAGTCCTTTAAAGAATGGTTCCAGAAACCAGGTAAATCAAAAAGCAGCATGAAATCATAGTAAAAGCACACACCTGCAATGCCATGTGGGTCAGTCGATAGCAAGCTGATAAACGCACAAGCTGGCCTGCTTCTCACGAATGTGGCATGTATGATGAGCAAACCTATGATGAGCCCAGTAACGTATATGATATTCACAGAAATGTTCACTGCGGCCTCTAGTGGATTTATGAGAAGGAAGTGCAAATGGTGCGTAATAGAAAACATCAAGATGTCCTCGCTGCAGCCTCCAGCTTAATGAAGCAGATGATCGTCAACTACACAGCGGACTTTGTACCGCCCACTAAGGTACTGCCCATGCTGCTGTGACAGTTGGGTTTAGGGTAGGGGGAGGTGTAGGTGATCGTCAACTAAGTAGCAGATCTTGTACCGCCCACTAAGGTAACGCCCATGCTAGTGTGACAGTTGGGTTAAGGGTAAGGGGAGGTGTATGTGATCGTCAACTATGTAGTGGACCTTGTACTGGCCACTGAAGTACCGCCCATGTGAATGTGATGGTTGGGTTAAGGGTAGGTGTAGGTGATCATCAACTACGTAGCGGACATTGTACTGCCCACTAAGGTAACACCCATGCTACTGTGACAGTTGGGTTAAGGGTAAGGGGAGGTGTATGTGATCGCTAACTATGTAGCGGACCTTGTACTGCCCACTAAGGTAACGCTCATGCTACTGTAACAGTTGGGTTTAGGGTAGGGGGAGATGTAGGCGATAGTCAACTATATAGCGGACCTTGTACCGCACACTTAGGTAACACCCATGCTACTGTGACGGTTGGGTTTAGGGTAGGGTGAGGTGTAGGCGATCGTCTACTACATAGTGGACCTTGTATCACCCACTAAGGTAACACCCATGCTACTGTGACGGTTGGGTTTAGGGTAAGGGGAGGTGTATGTGATCATAAACTATGTAGCAGATCTTGTACCGCCCACTAAGGTACCGCCCATGCTACTGTTACGGTTGGGTTAAGAGTAAGGGGAGGTGTAGGTGATCGTCAACTACGTAGCGGACCTTGTACCTTAGGTAGCACTCATGCTACTGTAACAGTTGGGTTTAGGGTAGGGGGAGGTGTAAGTGTAGGCCATTGTCAACTACGTAGTGGACCTGGTCAACGTTATCAAGCTGGGGGCTGCAGCGAGGACTTTCTCAAAAACATGGCCCAGTATTGTATTTTAGATTGCCATAAATATATGTATATATGCCCCTAGTAGATTTGGCCCTTAGAAGCTGCAATGTTGTCTCGGCCACTTATTTTACGGTTCCCAAATATGAAGTTTTTGTTGTTCCATGTTGTTTTCATCTCGACTGTGTTTTATCTCTGTACTCTGTCGGCACACCATGTGCCCTTGTTTTTGCTGTTCTCCATGATTCTACGGGGATTCGACTTTGGAATGCAGCAGTGCTAACGCATGCAGAGAGGGCTTACCCTCACCGCACATTCATTGTTGACAGCTATCAGATCACAGCAGTGTCATCAGCACATTTATTTACACTCTTTCTGCTGTGTTGGACTAAAAGTCAACTTGTAATCAATGGGGAAAGGCCCCTGTTTGCTAAGAGTAGAGCATCCTCATGTTGATGACCTTTCATTAAAGTGTTCCAACAGAGTCAGGGTTGAAAAAGTGCATAAGCGTCATCAACGTGATGTGGACAACACAAAACAGCTGCAGGGTCTGAGGGAAGGTCAAGCAGACGATGCGCTGATTTTCATCTGAATATGGAATAAAACACTTTCTCTGGGAGTGTTGCTGAATTCACCGTGGAGTGCTGCACTGCTCTCACACACACCACATGTTTTATATTATGTTGCTGTTTTGCAATGTCTTGTATGAGCCGGCCAAGCGATTATGCTATCTCTCACAAATAATGTGAAAATATAATAGTATGCTGACCTCCATATAAAGTTGTCTTTTTGGAGTGGCCAGTAATATCCCATTTTCTAACTACTTTTCACTCCATAATACTATTAATAAAACTGATGAATAATGAACGGTCTGATACATGATGAACTAACAGTCTGAAGGGTGTTCACTTATTGAGTGACTATATCAATCTGTCAACAGTCTCTATCATAGCAAGTTCTCTGTTTACAGTAGTACATGATATGCTCTAATGTAAACACTTGCTCTTGACACAGTAGTAACCTGTCATCTCTTCACTCCTGATACTGTTACCAGTCATTGACTGTTTGCAATTCTTTGTACTCTACTCTTGTCCTCTTCTGTCTCACCATTCATTAATTTTCATTCGGCTTAGTCCCTTTATTCATCAAGGGTCGCCACAGCAGACTGAACCACCAATTAACCCAGCATATGTTCAGCATAGTTCCAGCCGCAACCCAGTACTGGGAAACACCCATACACACTCATTCACACACACACACGTATTCACTACGGCCAATTTAGTTCATCAATCCCCCTATAGCGCATGTGTTTGGACTGTGGGGGAAACCGGAGCACCCGGAGGAAACCCATGCCAACATGGAGAGAACATGCAAACAGAAACACTAACTGACCTCCACACAGAAACACTAACTGACCTAGCCGGGATTCCAACCAGCGACCTTCTTGCTGTGAGTCAGCTGTGCTAACCACTAAATCACCGTGTCGCCTCTCTGCCTCAACATTGGGGTTATTATTCAACCCAAGCTAATTCCGGAAACGTAGCCCCGCGGACATTTCTGGAGGCCGTGATTTACGTGGCCTGAGGTACATACGGACGCATTTAGTTTTTTTCGAGCGAATGCTGCGCTCGCCGGCCCGCCTCCGAGTGGAGGGCTTTCCCGATGCAACCAGTTTGTCCGCTTAGCTCACAGCGTTGCGTCGGCGGAGCGGAGGCCCCGGAGGAGGAGCCGGCCGTGGTGGACGACGACCGGAATCGAGTCCGGGGAACAGCGGTTCCGGAAATCAGGTAAGACGAAAAACAGAATCCGAAAAATAAGGGCGAGAACGCGGCGGGATCCGAAAACGCGGTCGAAATCGAAGACGAGGGCTTTTGCTTTTTTCTTTTTTTTCTGGACGGCTTTTGCGAACCGTCGCTCGGGTTTAGGGAAGGAGGAGGAGGACGAGGAGGGTGGCCGAGTCAGCCGATCCGGAGGCTTTTCGCGCGAGACTGGCGCGCACTCCCGAGAGGCACCCGAGACGCGTAAAAGCGCGCACAGTGGCCTCTCGCGGATCCGCAAAAACAAAAAACGCTCGAATTTCCGCGGGGCTACGTTACCACAATGAGCCCAGGTTGTTATTATTGGAATGAATATAAGCAATATAAGCACCACAATTTAACCGAAGTGTACCTGCCTAAGCAACTCCGGTCCTGGAAATATATTGTCCTGCTGGTTTTAAAAGCTACCCTAATCAAATACAGTGGTGATAGTACTGTTTGGTACGTTTCTCAAGAGAGCATTGCAATAGTCCAGCCTGGTCAAAACAAGAGCTACAACACGGAGTCACGTAGCATGCTCTGAAAACAAGAGCCTGACTCTCCTATGCATATTGTATGAGGCAAATCTCAAGGATCAGGCTAAGTAGTCTGTGAAGCTCAATCACTCACTTTCTTTTGACTTATTTACCACAGTGGAATGAACTGCCCTTGTTTTACACAGCGAATGCTTTACACATCTTCCTGTCACAACCTAGCACTGAGGCCCTGTTTACACAAACACATTTTCGTTTTAAAATGCATAAGTTTTACTCCTGTTACACTTTCTGTCCACCCTAGTCAGCAGCTCGCTCTCTGCAACTCTCACATGGCTGCCCACTGAAGCTAAGCAGGGCTGCGCCCGGTCAGTACCTGGATGGGAGACCACATGGGAAAGCTAAGTTGCTGCCGGAAGTGGTGTTAGTGAGGGCACACTCTCCCATTCACACAATATGGCTGCATTTCAGTCCAATATGTTATGCCCTTTACTCACTAACTTCCGTCCCTCTCGTTCCCTCGGATGTACGTCATCGATTACATCACACAAGTGTCCAATACTAGTGAAGCTTCTGAAGGGATTTTAATGGAGTGCCCTAAAATCCTTGAACACTAGGAAACTGCAATGTTGTGACGTCACCATCACACTGCATTCTGGAAGATATAGGTGCTGGAGTGGACATATGAAGCCGAACCGCTTCCTGTACAAATCAAAAGGTATTAAGGGAATGTCCATATAAGCTTCCTTTGTTCACATACAAGTGTCTGTAGCTCCACCCTCTTCTGGAAAGAGCACCAACTCATTAGAATTTAAAGCAACGGTCACCAAAATGCCTCAACTAGGATCAAAGCCTAAAAGAGTCAGTTTCAGAGAGTTAGACAACATTATCTGTGTGATAATTTGAGCTGAAACTTCACACACATTCTCTAGAGACATCAGAGACGCATTTTACATCTTGTAAAAAGAGGCATAATGATCCCCTTTATAAGAAAAGTTTCTGAATGATGGATTCTAATGATGATGACAATGTAGAAGGAGGAAGGAAGCGGAGCAACAATGACCCTTAAGGTACTACAGTAGCTTGTAGTTGCGACTTATGGCCTGTTTCCACTGAGTGGTACGGTACAGTATGGTTCGGTGCACTTTTATGGCCGTTTCCACTGTCAAAAGTATACCGAACCAAACCGTACCGTACCACTTTTTTGGCACCCTTTCAAAAGGGTACCAAACGGGAGAAGGGGTACCAAAAGGTGGAGCTACACGTGCAGCTGAACGCTGATTGGTTACAGAGATACATCACGAGCTCGTGGAGCTACACAGAAGGTAAACAAAGGAACCGCCGTGTTATTTAAATACAAAGCCAAAACATTACATGGAAATACTATATGCAATTAATAACGAGCCATGGATGACCTGGGCTCAAACAAACCTTGTCGTTGTCTCGACGAACAGACACCAAGCCAAGAAGAAAAATCTGCTGTTGGCCCGTCTAAAAGTGCGAGCGGTATTCGCTTTCGCTTTACTGTAGACATTTATTCGAGCGAGCATGACGTCGACTTAAACTTTGTCATACACTATGCCCATCAAAAGGATACCCTTTGTGGTGGAAACGCAAGCCTGATAAAGGTGAGCCGTACCGACCCGAACCGTACCGTACTGTTCCAGTCAGTGGAAACGAGGCATAAGACTCTTCCTGTGTCTCCAGTGGATGTTTTCATTTGAATTATCCCTGCTGAAAAATCCAGCTTAAACCAGCCTAGGCTGGTTGGCTGGTTTTAGCTGGTTGACCAACCTGGTTTTAGAGGGGTTTTGGCCACTTCCAGGCTGGTTTCCAGCCATTTCCAGCCTGGTCTTAGCTGGTCAGGCTGGGAGATGACCAGCTAAAATCAGCTTGACCAGCCTAGCCAGGCTGAGAGCCCAGCCAAAACCAGCTATGTCCAGCTTAAACCAGGCTGGTCAAGCTGGTTTTAGCTGGATTAAGCTGGTCATTTTTCAGCCTGACCAGCTAAGACCAGGCTGTAAATGGCTGAAAACCAGCCTGGAAATGGCCAACACCCCTCTAAAACCAGGCTGGTCAACCAACTAAAACCAGCCAACCAGCCTAGGCTGGTTTAAGCTGGTCTTTTCAGTAGGGATTGCATTTGTTTATTTTAAGTTAGTAATTCTCTCTCCATCTTCAGTCACCAGCTTTTATAAAATCTTCAACACAACTTTAGTGTAACATGTTGGTGTCAAAGCATGCATTAAATGAAATAAAACAAAACTTGATACTTACTCTACAGCTACAATTACAGCATTGAGCTCTTTAACCATGTGCCTGGCTAGGAGATCATATGGGCCCATACCTGTGATGAGAAATCAGAAATACACATTTTTATTCGGTTGCAGCTCTGGCACTGTTACCTGCATTGTAACTTGTTTATGAGAGTGCATATTTTAGAGTAGGGCTGCATGATTAGGTGAAGGTGATCTTAATGCACATTGAAGTATAATCAGCTGTTTTAGATTGAGCTGTGTTTAGTAGAGATGGCTGCTCCACGCTGCCTTGTGTCCTTTACGAATCTTTTGTAAAGGGCAAGGTCATGCGATTTCAGTAAACAAGGCTTCGTTAGATCATACGTGTTTTAAAACTTATGGCGCAGTGAGTAGCACAATCAGCCCACAGAATGAAGGTCGCTGGTTTGAGCCTCGGCATTTCTGTGTGGAGTTTGCATGTTCTGTCTGTGTTCGTGTGGGTTTCCTCCGGTTTCCCTCACAAGTCCAAAGACATGCTGTATAGGCTAAATTGTCTGTAGTGTTTGTGTGTATGAGAGTGTATTTATGTTTCCCAGTGATAGGATGCAGCTGAAAGGGCATCCACTGTGTAGAATATATGCTGGAAAAGATGGTGGTTCATTCCACTGTGGTGACCCTAAATTAATAAAGGCACTAAGCCCAAAAGAAAATGAATGTTTTGAAACTTTTGACTGAATGGGTCTCCACTAGGGGGCGATCTGTGTAATACCATCAAATACGCGGCTGCGTCCGAAACCGCCTACTACTCAGTAGGTACTGCATTTGAATTTAAACGTACTACTCGGCCGTTATAAAAGTACCTTCTATACAGTTTGAATGTGAAAAGTATGAATGGAATTCGGACGTACTACATCCGCCATTTTGTCATGGTCATGTGACCTACCAGCGTCAGTTGCGTCGCTTTACTCCCATTCATGAATTCTCTCGTGGGGCATTATGGGATAGCGCAGCATGCATGCGATGCGCACTCCAGAATCTCGCCGGAAGTAGTAAGTCATCCGGGCACTTCTCGCATACTGATTTTCGAATTCTATGAATTCGGACATACTACTCGGCTCACATACTGATTTTAGCGTACTATATAGTATGGAAGTATGCGGTTTCGGACGCAGCACACATGAATCAAGCAGGTTTACTTAGATTGCCCCCAGTGGTGAATCACTAAATAGGTTTTATACTATTATAATTTTTACCTGATATCGTATCGTTTTTAGAAGTTTGTTGACATTTTAATATGACATTTGTAAAATAAAAGAAATGAAATAATACATGTAAAATGAATAATAACAGTTAATTGCAAACCAGGCTCATTGTGGAAACAGGCTCATTGTCCCGGGAGGTACATATTTGTGCGGTTTTTGTTTTCGCGAATCCATGAGAGGCAAATGTGTGCGCTTTTTTATGTCTCGAATGCCTCTTGGGAGAAAAGCCGTTCTCGCGTGAAAAGCCACCGGAGGAGGCCGCAGTCGAGCGACCGTCTGTCCCAAGCGACGATTTACAAAAGCCGTCCAGAAAAAAAAAGCAAAAGCCCTCGTCCGATTTTAACCTAATTTTCGGGTTTTGCCACGTTCTCGCCCCGTCGCGAACTCGTTTGCTTTTATTTTTTGGATTCTCGTTTTTCATCTTACCTGATTTCTGGAACCGATCTTCCCCGGACTCGAACCCTTTCGTCGTCGCCGCGACCAGCTCCGCCGAGTAACACTACGAGCAAAGCGGACAAACTGGTTGCGGCGAGTAAGCCCTTCACACGGAGGTGAGCCGTCAGTCGGCGAGCGCGAAGAAGAGGAGAGGAGCGGCGTCACACCGCCCCACAGCGTTCGCTCGAAAAAAAAACAAATGCGGTCATACATATCTCCGGCCACGTAAATCGCGGCCTCCAGAAACGTCTGCGGGGCTACGTTTCCGGAATGAGCCTGGGTTGGTTAATAGTCTCTTGTTGGCCTGTTTAGCAGAGTCCACCATTAAACATACGATATATAAACCTTGCGAATGCATATTATGCAGACAACTTATATTTATGATGTAAGACGATGAGGTTATTTATAGTTTTTTCGTTCAATGTAAAGTTGGCAGTATGTTTGAAAAAGTCAATTCTAATGCATGTATTCTTGCATTTACACAGTTTTGATCATCAGGTGGCGTGTGCTGTTTCGAAAGATTAATTTCTTGCGTCACTACAGCCAGGGCTTGATTTGTGCCGGAACATGCTGGATTTTACCGATCCCCTTCCTCCTCCGTCTGCTGTTTACGTTCACTTTCTTCCGCGCATCCCCAACCATCTTCACTTTCGTCCCCACTGCCATCCAAAGACAACACCCACCTCCCAACAACCCCCCCCCTCTCCACTACACTTTCGTGCGCAACACCTCTCCATCCTCGGATACCATGCCGGATCCGTTACCTCGATCTGTTCCGGTACCTCACAATTTACAAATTAAGCACTGACTAGAGCCATAGTCCAGTGACACACTATGCAAAAGGACTGTAAATTTAACTTTATTCTCTCTTCTGGCTGCCGTTATCAGTCTCACACCACTGTTTTCCTTCTTCTGAAAGTCTTGATAACAGCGTCGTATAGTATTTCAGCCAATTGGATTGTAGAATATTGATTTGTTGTACTCTCCTATTCACTCTGAGTTCACCAACTACGACCACTTCTGCTGCTGAGAAACACGCAAATGTGACACAAAAGGGTCCATCCTCTGTTCCTTTTCAATTAATCATGCAGCCCTAATTTCGAGCACATTTAATGGTACTCACGAGAGCTGCCGAGACACCATCCGCCTCCATGCAAGTAAATGATGGCTCTTCTTAGCTCTCCTGTTTGTTCCAGCTGATTGGGTTGATACACAATCACCTCGACCCCATCGAAATTCTCCTCGGCTACCTGCACCCGGTCATCCGACACAGGTACGACTCGCTCCGCAATGGTGATGAACATCATGACTCTCATGTAGTCCAGAAGTCCCACCTGCTCGCTGAGTTCTGCCTGTAAAGAAGAAAACAGCATTGAAAGTCGGGCTGCACAACATATCGTTATACATCCTAATGTGGGCGTCACAGAAGTCGCCTCACAGCAAGAAGGTCGCTGGTTCGAGTCTCAGCAGGGAAAGTCAAGGCCTGTGACCGTAAACATCTTAAACAAGTTTAAAGCTTTCAGGCACAAAGAATTATCACGTGAGTAGCTTAAACAGGGACTAACTGTAAATAATTATTATTTATTTAATGGAGACTCTACAGCTTTATTGTATTGTTTTAATTCTGGGGGCGAAGCAGTGGCGCAGTAGGTAGTGCTGTCGCCTCACAGCAAGAAGGTCGCTGGTTTGAGCCTCGGCTCAGTTGGCGTTTCTGTGTGGAGTTTGCATGTTCTCCCTGCATTCGCGTGGGTTTCTTCCGGGTGCTCCGGTTTCCCCCACAGTCAAAACACATGCGTTACAGGTGAATTGGGCAGGCTAAATTGTCCGTAGTGTATGAGTGTGTGTGTGGATGTTTCCCAGAGATGGGTTGTGGCTGGAATGGCATCCGCTGTGTAAAAACTTGTTGGCGGTTCATTCCGCTGTGGCGACCCCGGATTAATAAAGGGACTAAGCCGACAAGAAAATGAATGATTGAACGTTTTATTTCTGTTCCTGAATACTGTTCCTTCACTTGTATATGTGCTCTGCCAGCCTGATCTCACGAGAAAACGTAAGTATTTTACATTTTGCCAGTTTAGTGGCTAATTCGTACGAATTCGTACGAGTTCAGTCGTACGAAATGGTACGATTTTTAAAAGGAGGCGTGGCACCTGACCCCACCCCTAACCCCAACCGTCATTGGGGGATGAGCAAATCGTACTAAATTGTACGAATTAGATCGTACGAATTCATACGAATTAGCCACTAAATGAAAAAGTTACGAATTGTCGTGAGATTGTGTTAGCTCTGCTGTATTTATATGCTTATAATTTGTTTATTAAGATGCACTCCAATCAAAATCGTCCTAATAATTTAATCTAGTGAAGCATCGCAATATAAATAGCAGAACATCTAAATATGGCAATCCACGTTTTTTCCAATATTGTGCAGGCCTAATTGAAAGGCAGTGTTTGGGTTATTTTGTGCGAGAGCTTCCACTGAAAGTCACATGGATCAAGACTACTTTCTCACAAAGGTTATGAACAGGGCAGACGCATGGTTGATCAGCTGAGATCATCTCGCTAATAGCCAGAAGCCCTTAAACTTTTGCTTCAGTGGATAACAATCCATGGTTAAGCCACTTGACGCTACGTGATGATACTCCAGCATGTGCACGACAGTATGTTTTTAAAGGTGCAGTACGTCAGTTCCTAACTCTTCTAAATCATGTTTTTGTTTTGTTTTTTTGAGAAACAATGCTGAAGTCAGTTATAGAGCTGTAATCGGGCCATAAAAGTAAGGCTTGATAGGTCCGAGCCAGACAAGTACATTTTAATTGACAGCTTTTAAATGCCCGAACTCATTTATAACCCGACATTATTCAAATGTGCAGCTGCTCTTTTGTCATGAATGAGTCGTTTATACGTGTTTTAACATTATTTATTCACAACGTAGGCTATAGGACACTTGGAAGTTGGAAGAAAGATCTAAATAAGTCCTCTGTAACATCCCAGCACTCTAAGGGCCCTCATACACCCGGCGCAGTGTGGCGCAAGGCGCGACGCAATAGTTGTTTGGTAGTTTCAGCTTGGCGCAGGAGTCGTTTTGATGTTTTGCGCTATGCTGTTTAAATAGCAAATGCATTTGCGCTCATATGTGCGCCCATAGGCGTTCTGGCCTAAAAAAAGAGGCGCGTCGCTATTTTGAGAAACTATAATAGATTTTTCAATAAACCAAAACAAACCCGGTCTAAAGTCGAGTTGCGCATCGCTTACACACTGCTTAATACACACAAGATGTAGAGCAATACTCAAATATCTTTACTTATAGAAAAATTCAAATATTAAGGATATATATATAGGATATTAATATAGAGGATTAAAATATTACAAAAATTTTCTAGCCTACATAAATATGAAAAATCACTGATTTTATGTCTTCATCATCTCGGGAGGCTTTTTCAGTTCATTCATAACAATTTGCTTTTGTATAATGTTATTATTATTAGCAGTATTATTTATTATATCCATATTTATATTTGTTTAATTAAAAACAAGCTTAGATTTGTCCACCTGTCAGGTTTTAGACCATATGGGGCACAGCATGTGTATTAGGATATAACTCAGGTTTTTGAGCACACTTCATTATTATTGTTCATTTATTCGTTTGCTGGAAATCAGAACTGAATTTAGAAATAGTTTTGAAACGAATATTTGCGCTTAACAAATGCAATTAATTGATGTCTGTGTGTAAAAGGTTTCCCTATCCAAGAGCGAAAGTGAAAGTGATCCATTATCTCTCATTCTTGCGCAGTAGATGCTCTGTTTAACTGGTTTCTGTTAAAAAAACTGTGAACTGTTTGCTAGTAAAATGCTCAGTTTTTCCACTTAGAATTACTTTGCGTCCTGTAAATAGCGAATGCGCTCTTGGCGTGACGCAGCTGACTCTTAAAGGGAATGGGAGATGAGGCTCTGATTGGTTTATTCTCAAAACACACCTATAACTCATTAAGAAAATAAACTCAACCCTTTTAGATCATGCGCCACGGCGCAAAGCAAATTTTCCCGTCCTTAAATAAGCAAATATGGATTCTGACATGCCTTGAATGTGTTTGCGCTCTGCGCTTTCCGTTTTGCACATGGACCGTCAAAATAGAGCCCTAAATAGGCCTAGGTACATACACTTAGCCTTTAAATTGGCCAACACACCAATAAAAATAAGTCTTTCTTATACAATTAAATGTAAAATAAATTATAAATTATGACGGGTAGACCTAATTGGCAATAACGAAATCAAGATGAAGGCTCAGTGGGATTTGTTTCGCCATTTCTCTTCACAATCTGGCCTTAAGGCGATGGTTCTGGCTAATTTAGCATGTTTTGGGTAGGATTGTTTGTTCATCTTCCACCAGTCAAAAACATACTTTCATTTTCCGTGACAGCGGTTTTAATGTAGCGGGTGATCTCTCCGCACCTCTGTTGTCAGTGACACTTCCAATGGTTACGAAGCCGGAAACCTGTAACCATTGACTTTCATAGTATTTGTTTTCCCTACTGTGGAAATCAGTGGTTACCTGTTTTCAGCTCTCTTCATTTTTGTTCAGTTTGTTTGTGTTCAACAGAATACAGAAACTTGTAAAAGTTTGGAATCGCTTGATCATGAGTAAATAGTTATTACTTTTCATTTAGGAGTGAACCATCCCTTTAGGCGATTAAGCAAGGCAAATATTTCACACTCAACGCCAAAACAGCATCGCAGTGGGCATATGCTGAAGATCCTTGCCCTGGCATCATTCTGCAGCTGGAGGAAAGCAACGTGAAAGTCAAATGAGGGATCACGTTAAGCCTCAGAGATGATGTTAACTGTGCGGTGATGACCAGATCATATGGCTGATCCAGAGCTCCAGGCACCGACTGAGTGTTCAGTTCAGACTCATCAGCCGCTCTAAGCTCTGCACTTTAGATTGTTGCACATTTTAGCTGATAACATGTTCTGTTCTTTTACTTATTGATGATTGCATCAATACAGTCTCATCTACTTAATTATGGATGAAGAATAAAGGTCTTTGTCAAAATAAAATGTGGCATCATTTTACATATATTTATTCTGCTGCACTTAGTAGTTTTAGAGCACTTTTTTATACATATTTGTAATGTCAAAGCAAATATATAAATAATTGAGAGCAACCACTGAACTGTACAACCACTTTCCTTCTGCTGCAACATGAACATTCATACCATTTTTTAATGAACTTTTTATTTATGGTTTAAACCTGGTGTTCTTTTATTTATTTATTAAATTATTTATTTCAACTATGCAACCGTTTTCAAGGTAACCCTAGATTTGGAAAAGTCAAGGTTTTAAAACTGCCAACATGTTTTGCTATACCATTCCATATACAGTTGAAGTCAGAATTATTCGCCCCCCCTGTTTATTTTCTCTTCCAATTTCTGTTTAACAGAGAGCAGACTTTTTTCAACACATTTCTAATCATAACAGTGTTAATAACTCATCTCTAATAACTGATTTATTTATCTTTGCCATGATGACAGTAAATAATATTAGACTAGATATTCTTCAAGACACTTCTACTTAAAGTACATTTAAAGGCTTTTGCTAGGGTAATTAGGGTAACTAGGCAGGTTAGGGGAATTAGGCAAGTTATTGTATAATAATAGTTTATTCTGTGACTATTGAAAAAATATAAAGCTTAAAGGGGCTAATAATATTGACCTTAAAATGGTGTTTAAAAAATTTAAAACTGCTTTTATTTTAGCTAAAATAAAACAAATAAGACTTTTTGCAGAAGAAAAAATATTATCAGACATACTGTGAACATTTCCTGAATCTGTTAAACATCATTTGGGAAATATTTAAAAACGGGAAAAAAAATTCAAAGGGGGCGAATAATTCTGACTTCAACCGTATATGTACAGTATATTTAATATATATATTTTTAATATATTTGTGTTAAGTTATTTTGGATCTATATTATTCTTGCTGTATTTTTTATTTATTTAATTCATTTTAATTTATTATAATTTTTTTTTTTTTTTTGCTAAACTTAAAAAATAATCCTTTGTCAACTTGTAGGACAATGTTTAAAATAAACTTGTTGTTTAAAAAACAAAAAGTATGAATAACATTGTAAAGCATTTATTAATCTTAGTTTAACATTTACTAATGTGTTTTTAAAATCCCAATTTGTGTTTGTTAACATAACCTAATGCACTGTGAGTTAACACCAACAGATTATTTAACTTAAATAATCCTTACTTACATTAACAAAGATTTAATAAATGTATTACTGATAGTTTACTCATGTCAATAAATACATCACTAACTAATTAACTAATAGATCATTGTTTTAAAAGTTTAAAAAAATCATATAGTTTAGGTTTTAGCCTTATTTCACCTCACTCCAACAACCTTTACTCAACTGTACAACACTTACACACATCTACCTTAAAAAAATAGCTATTTATATATGGGCCATTCTTCAACTACAGGCACTTTTAACGTTGTGAAGTTGAGTAAAAAAAAACTTGTTCAAAATGACCGTAACACAGCCTCATAAGTTTAAACAATCTGGGCTGCGTTTCCCAAAAGCATCGTAAGCCTAAGAAGTTCGTAGAAATGATCGTACGACTGATCTTAATATTACGGTCTGTTTCCCAAAAGCATCGTAACTTAAGTAGCACTTGAAAATCTTCGTGGATCTACGAGTGCTCTGGAGTAATCGTAAAGCCTTAAGTGCATCGTAAGGAGACAGAGTTATGAGGGCACCTGCTGGACAACCGGCAAATTGCACCTACAATTTACTTCTCTTCAAAGTCATTATTCATTTTATTTGTACGTATATCTCTATTCATTTATATTTTCTACACATTACACAATTCAATATACAAATAATAATAATTAATAATTAGGCTAAACTTTTCAAAAATAAATGTAAGAGCTTATTTATTTATTTATTTATTTACTTATTTATTTATTTTGATGTGAGATAAGCAATTTTTGATAAAGAAATTGATAAATAATTCTACTTAATTAAGGTTTCATATAAATATCGAAAATGATGCTGATGTCATTTCCGGCAAGGACTGTTAGAATTAGTTTTATGCGAGATTGGAGCAAGACAGTGTTTTTACAGTACGACATTTCCAGTTAATTTATGTTTTTAAACTGGCTCAAAAATATTTTTTTTTTATGTTATTCGAGTTGAATATACATTCACACAAGTAGAAGAAGAATTATATGGATTGCTATAACATGTGCAACAATAACGAGCCATTCTATAGCGTGACATTTCAGCACTTAACAAACGGATAGCGACTCCTAAGTTGCACTTAAAGCTGGGCTACGTGCAATTGTGTTAAGTGCATTTTTGGGAAACGCACGTGAAACAATAACGAACGTTCGCAAAATGACTCGTAGAAAACGCTCTTAAGTGCTAAGATCAATCGTTATCGGGAAACGCAGCCCTGTCTAGTTTTAAGATCTGTAAGAGGACAAACTTAGATAAGAGGAGAAACATTTTGTCCATCGTGAACTGAACAAATGTCAATTCCAGCACATCTCAATATACAGCTCATTTCAAAATCACATAAATGATGGCAGCCAAACATTGTCTACGATCAGTTTTGTGTTTTGTCTAACCAATCTTTCCACAATATTTATAATTATACATTTGTCAATGAAATAAATGAGCTGTGTGCTGAATTGTGCACCTGTCACACTCTAAAATTGAATATTATTTTGGTTAAGAGCTTATTAGAAAATAAATAAACTGAATTTGTATTTTAAATAAAGCATGAACTTATACATTGTGAATACTCTTGTAATGTGTAATGAGAACAGTTTATTGTGAAAAAATGCGGTGAAATTCACTGACTAGCTTTGAATTGATTCCAACCTTTCATGTAAACAAAACACTCTTATTTACCTTCATTTTGTTTGGGTTTTAAAACATCTTTGAAGGTAAAACAAGTTTGGAAATGACACAGAATAAATGTATTTCATTATCAAGCACTATTTACCTTGATTTTTCATCAAGTGTTGTTGATAGAAATGTAAATTCCCTTCATCTTGAAGATGTTCTCAAATGGCACTCTTCATTTCTATAGAAACCACCTCAATAATCTCACACAAACTATTTAAAGCGACATTATACAGTGTTGTGCTGGAAATGACACTCATACTGTGAGAGCTATATTTTGTATAAAAATAATATTGATATTAGTCTCACATTAATAACTATAAAATATTGTAATTATTTCAGTAGTGCTTTATTAAGATACAGATACCAGATAAATAATATTTATAAATGTTATTTTCATTGCTGAAGTTCAAAACTCTGGGTGAAAACAGTGATTTTGACACCTGAAAGGAGGTTGAATAATATGAAAAATATATACTAGAAAGCTAGTACATTTTTTAAGAGTAGGTTTTATTGTTAGTTTGACAAAGAAAGTGGCATTTGAACAAAATTATATATATATATATATATATATATATATATATATATATATATATATATATATATATATATATATGGGATATATGATCAAAGGACATAAAAGTGCAGGTAGCTGAAGAATTACCTGTATATTTAATTTACATTTGGTCCCACTTTATATTAAGTGTCCTTAACTACTATGTACTTGCATCAAAAAATAAATACAATGTACTTACTGTGTTCATAATGTCTTTGAGAACACTTTTGTGGTGCTTTTGAGTTGGGATAGAGGTTGGGTTATGGACAGGTTTGGTGGTATGGGTAGGTTTAAGGGTGGGTTAAGGTGTAAGGTATGACCAACAGTGTATTTACAAATGTAATTACAATAGTTAATAACAGATGTAATTACATACGGGTATTTAATCAAGCATGAATACACAGTAAATACATGTATTTACACAATAAGTACATTGCAACAAACTATTAATTCCCGTGTAAGTACTTATTAGTTAAGGCCACTTAATATAAAGTGGGACCTTAACATTTTATATAAATTGTAATTTATAGTAGGCAGCACACACATAAAATTGGCGTTGAAAGAGCTTAAACAAACCCTGACACTGCCGTATTTAAGGTGCGTGTTGTTAATGATGACATTTCATGCTATAACGTTAGCCAATTTCTTTCTATTATTAGCCGCAAAGCGATCTATATAAGCTACAATGCTCGGATTAACAATTGACATGGTCTGTAAACTCTCTCAGTGTGTTTACACACAGACACTTGTGATGTATTAGGCGTCTGACACCCAAACAAATAATAATAGCGCGTAGACATGAGCCCACGTTAGCTGCGTAATTACGCTCCTTGATCAAAATAATGCGGTGATATAAGACTTACGCTAGTCACACTGCAAAGCATGGCATTACGCGTGAATTTGGCAGATATTAACGGCTTGTCAATCCCACAGGCTGCTAGCTCGGTAAATAAGCAAACTCACCAGCTGGCTCAAACTTTTGAAGAAGGAGTCTGTGACCATTAGTTTCCATCTCTCCTCAATGTCACTCGGGATTGGTGAATAAACGTGATAAGCTGTCAACGCGCCCAGCAGCACAAGCACAAACACTCCTTTGGACCTCATCATTTATTGTTATTATTTCAGGTTGTAGCTTGATATCTATGGTCTGCTGCTTTTCCTTTTCCACAAAGTCTCCGACACTTTGCGAAGCTCCCCTCAGCTGCGTTTATTAGCCATTGCGCTCTCTCCCTCTGTGTTAAAGTGTAATCCTGGATTAATTTTGGACTGGAGCCAGCGAGATATGACAGCACGTGTTAGTGTCATCTGATCGTGATACCGCACGCGTGCATGTGAAACGATTTGCGCGTCTGCTCCTTCTTCTTCAGCCTTGATCGCAGACTTGATTCAATCTTGTAAGGGGAGTGAGCGGAGCTGCAGTGTGTTACGCCGAGCTCCTCTCACATTCCCCAGATAACCTCACGGGTCATCGCGTGGTTTTGTGTATCTAGCTGTCTTCACTTACATTTAACACCCTGTAATGATTTCACTTTTCAGTGTGTTGAAATGTCTCCACTTGACAAAAACAGCATAGTAATTCAAAGTAAATACTATAGTTTTTATTGCTTAAAAAAGTGTTGCATGCAGAACTGTTGCAAACATTTATTTGTGTTGAATTTAAACAAATTAAATTGAATAATATTCAACTTAATTTGTTTGTTTAAATTCAACACAATTAAATTGTTTAAAACCACTTAATGTAAAAAAATTGAGTAAATCCAAGAAATCATAATTGAATAGTTTTTTTTCAGTGTATAGTAATATATACAGTTGAAGTCTGAATTATTAGCCTCCACTGAATATTTTTTCCTCCAAATGTCTGTTTAACAGAGAGATTTCTCCAGCACATTTCTAATCATAATAGTTGTAATAACTCATCTCTAATAGCTGATTTATTTTCTCTTTGTCATGATGACAGTAAATAATATTAGACTAGATATTCTTCAAGACACTTCTATACAGCTTAAAGGCTTAACTACATTAATTAGGTTAACTAGGCAGGTTAGGATCATTAGGATTGAGGTACTGCAAAGAGTAATGAGCAAAAATTCCCAAAGACAGGTGTGCCAAGTTTGTGGCATCATATTCAAAGGGACTTGGGGCAAAGGTGCATTAACAAAGTATTGAGCAAAGGCTGTGAATACTGATGTACACCTGATTTTACAGGTGTTTTATATGTAACAAATTGGAACAATTTTAAAAACTCTTTCTTCACATTGTCATTATGGAGGATTGTGTGTAGAATGTTGAGGGATTAGAGGAATTTAATCCATTTTGGAATAAGGCAAAAACAAATGTGGAAAAAGTGAAGCGCTGTTAATCAGAGGTGTAAAGAGGACCTGAAAACCATACTTGAGTAAAAGTACGGTCCCACTTTATATTAAGTGGCCTTAACTAATAAGTACTTACACAGGAATTAATAGTTTGTTACAATGTACTTATTGTGTAAATACATGTATTTACTGTGTACTTATGCTTGATTAAATACATGTATGTAATTACATCTATAATTAACCTTTGTAATTACATTTGTAAATACACTTTTGACCATCCCTTACACCTTAACCTACCCTTAAACCTACCCACAACACCAAACCTGTTCATAACCCAACCTCTATTCCAACTCAAAAGCACCAGAAGTGTTCTCAAATACATTATAAACACAGTAAGTACATTGTATTTATTTTTTTATGTAAGTACATAGTAGCTAGGGACACTTAATATAAAGTGGGACCAAAAGTACAGATACCTTACTGTAAAAATTACTACAAGTTACAAGTCACCAATTCCAATAAGACTTGAGTAAAAGTATTAAAGTATCCATTTTTAAAATAACTTAAGTATTTTACTTATATGTAGACTCAAAGAAGAAAGGTTTTATGTCCTAATATAGAAATTAAATTAAATCTGAACACCTTAATGATTCAAAATGGCAGAAAAAAATAGATTAAAAAAAAGAACAAAAAGTCTCAAACTCAAATGTTCAAAAAATGCACAAATACTTTTTCAACAACAAAAAAAAATGTAGTAAAACGTAGTAAAAAAAAAAAATCAGAGCTGACCTTCATGTGATTCACCTTTCAGTTTCAGCAGTTGTTTTATTTTGAGTAGTTTTTCAATTGATTTGGATGTATTCTCTGTATTAAAATTAAACAAAGAGGAGCAGTGTTATTTTTCAACTTAGTAAACTACATAAAAATTCAATGAAAAATGCATCACAAACTCACAGCTAAATAAACCTGATGCAAAATGTCTAATTCCAGTGATACATTTGTTCATGTTGCACAAAAAAAAAAATTAAGCAAAAACAGTCGTCATGTCGCAGTGGTATTTTCCATATCAGTAACTGTATTAAATTCTCTAAATGCACATTAAATTAATATTAAATAAACTCTTACCTCAATGTGTTTTCTCAAATTTGACGATAAATTCTTAAAAAAAGATGCTGACTTGTCACTGTTGTAAAATAAGAATCATTTTTTATTATTTTTGTCTCTTTTTCTTTTAATCAAACACTTATTTGTATTGGTCATGTAAGGGTCATATATTAACTGAATTTCTAATGTTGTGGGTGAGTGCTGTGCATACTAATTAGCATTTTTGCAAAAGTAGATAGATGCGGGTCCAAAATTCCTGTCTGAAGAGAGGTGTTAAAACTGAACACAGAACACAGAAAGATGTATGCTTTGTTGTTGTGCAGAGAATTCGTAGAAAAAGAGGAAGTATGTCGAAGGTGCGGCCAATGGAGGACTGAACAATGACTGACAAGTGACGTTACACCAAAACTCCACCTGTTAAGATCGGTTGTGTATATATGCTGGAGTCAGGAAATGTATGTTAGTTGCGAACCTCTTGAATGTAATTCTTGTATTGCATTGGGGTAATGTAACCCAGAGCTCTGTCATCGAATTATTCATTTGTATATAATAAATTACTAATATTTTTGGCATTGAAGAAAAAACTCTCCAGACCTTTTCTTATTGAACACGCATGAAATTGGCTAGATATTCCAACATCACGCACAATAACAATATAACGAGTAACAAAAAGAGCCCGTTCAAATGTAGTGGAGTAAAGAGTACATACTCAATCAAAAATGAAGTCAAGTAGAAAGTAAAAGTTGCTTATATTTTTAATACTCAGCACAAGTACAAAGTAGCCCAAAAATACTTAATTAAAGTAACAAAGTCCATTTACTTAAGTACTTTACACCACTGCTTTTAATACCTTCCGGATGCGCTGTAATATATGTTAAACTTAGTGCACTTCATTTGTTTTTGAACCATAATTAAGTGTTTTAGTAACAACTCTTTGTTCATGAATAATACCATAGTGTATTAACTGTTGTGTTGATAAACTGTAATAAACACTCTATTATATATTAGTTTTACTACAGTAAACTCGTGTATATTATAGCATAATATATGTAAAACTAAGTACACTTCAAACATGAAAATATATAGTAAATAGTAGTAAATACTGTAGTTTTTTTAACCATAAAGTGCATTAACGTTTTGTTCATGTATATTACAGCATGGTGCAGTATTAACTATTGTGTTATACTGTAGTAAACACTCTCTATATTAGTTTTACTACAGTAAACTGTGGTGTATGTTGGTATTATAGTATAATCTAAGTAGTTAAAACTTAGTATCCTTCCAACATGAAAGAAATATAGTAATTAATAGCGAATAATGTTGGGATTTTAATTATACTGTAGTAAAGTGTATTAGCAACAACTTTTGGTTCATGAATAATACAGCATAGTGTAGTATTAACTGCTGTGATGCTGATAAGCTGTAATAAACACTCTATTATATATATGTTTCACTAAGAGTTGTGCATTGTAGTATAAGTAAAATGTATTAGACTTTATACGGGAAACAAAACTGTAATTAATAGTAAATATGTGGTTTGTTTGAACCATACTATAGTAAATTGTATTAACTCTGTTCATGAATAACACAGCATAGTGCAGTGTTAACTCTTGTGATAAATGACTGTAATAACACTGTATTATATGTTAGTTTTACTACAGTAAGCTGTTGTTTATTGTAGTATAATATATGTTAAACTTAGTGCACTTCTTTTGTTTTTGAACCATAATTAAGTGTATTAGTAACAACTCTTTGTTCATACCATAATAATAATACCATAGTGTAATAACTGTTGTGTTGATAAACTGTAATAAACACTCTATTATATATTAGTTTCACTACAGTAAACTCGTGTATATTGAGGTATAATATATGTAAAACTAAGTACACTTCAAACATGAAAATATATAGTAAATAGTAGTAAATACTGTAGTTTTTTTAACCATAAAGTGCATTAACGTTTCGTTCATGTATGTTACAGCATCGTGCAGTATTAACTATTGTGTTATACTGTAGTAAACACTCTCTATATTAGTTTTACTACAGTAAACTGTGGTGTATTATGGTATAATGTAAGTAGTTAAAACTTCCAACATGAAGCATTTATTATAGTATGTACCGCCTGCCAAGCCGACTTCAATAATGTATTTAAACCAGACAAATTGACTGTGTTTAAAAAATAAAAAATAAATAACCATATTACAGTGAGGTGAATGTTACAGTGAATATTCCACTCAATGCCTTTACCACACTGATGATCAGGTCACATTAAACAGTGTGACAAGCATGTGCTCTCTCACACACACACACACTTGTTCCTATATCTCAGTGGGGACTCTCATAGATGTGATGATGTTTATTATGTAAACTGTATATTCTCTCTAATTACTTCTAACCTAGCCCTCGTAGTAAACAATCTGCACTTTATATCTTCAAAATACTTCATTCTGTCTGATTTATAAGCATGCTTACCCATGAAGACCTCAACTTTGGTCTCCACAGTCCCCATGAGTCTGTGTGCATTCAGGTTTAAGTTCCTACCAGGATATAAAAACCAGTACACAAGCATACACACTTTATTTTTTTTAGCAATTAGTCAACATTTTATGTATTCCTTTGAAACTTTCATTGAAATAAATGTTAAGTAAATGTATATCCTAATGCAATGTGACTGAAGCTTCAAAGAATTCCTCTGATAACCTCCAGGATGGTCTCATGTTTTGGTCCTCCTCCCCTGAGGAGTTATTGGATAAGGAGATATTATCTGCTCGCATGACATTCGGCCTGAATCAATGTACACAAATAAAGGAGAGTCATGAAGAGAGATGAAAAGCTTTAATCACAGAACTGAGAGAGAGAGATTGGAGTACAGCTTTTCACTTTTAACTCTCTCTTTACCTATGTTTCTCCCATAGTTTGAAGTATATTTACCCTATTCATAACCTGCCCACTGTAATAGCCTTTAGTTGACTTTACTTAAAAAAAAGAGTAAACTCATTGCCTTATTATCCAACCCAGGCTCATTCTGAAAACGTAGTCCAGCGGACGTTTCTGGAGACCGCGAAATACGTCCCGGGAGGTACGTACTTGTGCAG